GTATTTATGTTCCTACAGGTGCTCGTCGTGCTGACCACCAACGATTGATGGAGACATTATTTATGTTCCTACAGGTGCTTGTCTTGCTGACCACCAACGATTGATGGAGACAGTATTTATGCTCCTACAGGCGCTCGTCTTGCTGACCTCCAACGATTGATGGAGGCAGTATTTATTGTGTCGATGTCTTAACCGTCAAATTTCATTTAAAAATAATCTAACCACTCGAAATAATAGGAGGAAAAAAAATTTGCGGCTAAATCTCCGCAGGATTAAACCATGAAATTAGCAGCAAATTGCATTGCTGCGATGATTCAGTAACACCCCTAATGATAATGACAGATAAATTTTCAATTCCGACGCTGATTTATGCGGCAGCTATTTGCAAAAAATAATGATGCTTTTCGAGAGAAGCAAAGATGATGGCCGCAGTGCACGGTCATTGAGTACCGGACCAGCTCTGGTCAGCTCATAGAGCATATTGCATTGAGCGATGCACTTCATGTCATTGCTTTGCAGTCGGCGAGAAAATGAGCAGAAAATTTTATAAAGGAGAACTCTCGATGATTCGGCGCTTCCATCTCCTTGCTGAAATATACGAGACCGCGTGAATATGAATGTCGCATGCATCACTAAATTGATTAAAAGAATCTTCATAATAATAACAATAATCTGTACTATAACTGCGATTAAAGCGCGTATAGATCACAAAGCAGGCATTTTCGGTGCGAATTCTAGGAAATGATAATATTAGGACTGATATATCTTGCACATTTGTACATTCTGAGCCAACTTATTCACACACTAGGTAGATATATCCTCCTTCACTAGGTAGATATATCCACCTCCTCTAGGTAGTTAGTTAGTTAGTTTAGTGGCCACATGTTTACTAGCGCTTCAGCTATTTAGCTACCTCGAACCGAAAGTCAAGATGAACATCACCAAAGAGGTGGAAGGTCTCAATTATCAAAAGTTTCTCAAATCAAAAAATTGTTCATCACCCACACGGGGCGGGAGGTCTCAGATGTCCAGCCTGCTGAAGCTGGCTCGAAAGAAGCAGCGTTAGCATCTCAAAGAGACGAAGTGACAAGGAGGGACAGGTGAAAGCAACAGAAACGAAGACACTCGAACAAGATATCCACTTCCTCTAGGCAGATACATCCACTTCCTCTAGGCACATTTATCCACTTCCTCTAGGCAGATACATCCACTTTCTCTAGACAGATACCATAGCCCTGCTCTAGCTAAGCATGCTCCTCTCCCCCCAAGCTCCTCCCTCTGCAGTGACGCGCCGAGAGCGACGCCCGAGCGCACCTGCTCAGCTCGTCTTGTCGGCATAAGACACTTCGCATTTTTTCATAACTATGCTTAGTAATTCTTAATATTTAATGTCACACAAATTGTTCTGAATTATTCTTGTAGGAATTTATAAGTAGTTTCAAAATATCATAATTTGACATTTGTTGATCAGATTAAATTTACAAGAGAGGTAAAGATATTTCAACCATCAAGCAGCTCTAGCACAACACTAGAACTCGGAAAGTTTAAAGTTAGACTGCAGAACAACAATATCAACATATATGATCAATGTAATCAGTGTGAAATTTGACACGGCAGCACAAGAGACCACGCGCAGCATTAGCCAGGCAGGCACTTCTCGTCCGAGTGTATTGGCTTTCAGGAGGTTTTCCTGGCAGCAACAAATACACTTCACTGCATCCCGCGTCTGCTGCAGAACCGTGGAGAGCTTACACAAGGGATATGTCTTAGCTACGAACTCTTTAAACACCAGCGTGTTGCTGAAAGCGAAGTGCTTATCCGGGGGATTTAGCTTCACTGCGAACTCTTCAAACACCAGCGTGTTGCTGAAAGCGAAGTGCTTATACGGGGGATTTAGCTAAACTGTTAACTCTTTAAACACCAGCGTGTTGCTGAAAGCGATGTGCTTATACGGGGGATTTATCTTCACTGTGAACTCTTTAAACACCAACGTGTTGCTGAAAACGAAGTGCTTATACGGGGGATTTAGCTTCCTTGTGAACTCTTTAAAACACCAGCGTGTTGCTGAAAGCGAAGTGCTTATACGGGGGATTTATCTTCACTGTGAACTTTTTAAACACCAGAGTGTTGCTGAAAGCGAAGTGCCTATATATACGGGAAATATATCTTCACCGTAAACTCCATACGCACCAGCGTGTATTCGAGCTGTGACCTAACACGCCTGCGAGTAGCTTCAATAGTGAAGTGCTTTCATGTGGGACGTGCCAGTAGAGCATGAAACTTCCACGCCATCAAATACATGATGAATATAGTGTTTAACGAAGAAAATCATAATAAAAAGACGAAGTCGAAGAAAATAACCTAACTTAAATGTCGAATATTATCATTACAGCCCGCCAAAGTCACAAGAATTGTCATAATGCCTAACACAATTGTCTCTCTTACTGATTACATACTTAATACGCAGCTTTGACTTTCAATTAGAAAATATCCGTGTAGAAGGAGGATGGATATGATGGTTTGAATACCAGATAAAGTTTCAGAAAATAATTTGAGCAAAGAACTTGCAATTCTTTGTTCGGTCATCTCACCCGCATGGTTTTCCATTATCGACGAAAATTTTTGATCGTTTAAAACCTAAAAATACTAACATACATGAATTTTTCATGTTTAAAACAACACTTAGGTATTACACTAAGATAATACGGTAACATCATCGAAATTTTTGCCATATTATTTCACGGTTCAGAGTACTCAAGTTTTGAGAGTGACAAACATGTGGAATAAAGGACAAACATATCCAGTGACTGCAGGGAGTCTAAAAAATACAGGTCGCTGGAAATAAGTTGCAGCGGGAAATAGTGGGAAAAATATAACCTCGGAGTTTTAAGAGACGGTTTTAAGGGGAACAGCATCAGCCTTCCATGCCGGAAAACAAAAGGCTAAGAATTGTCAGAAGGCACACTGTAAAAAATTGAATAATAAGAAGGGATTATATCTGCCGCACAGGACAAAATGTTACAACAGATCATAAATTATTGTCATGAGAACACGCTGTGCCCGCATGCTGTCAAAAACTGGCAGATGATAGCGAAAAAATACAATTTATTGCCCTAGGAGGCAGTTGCACGCCGCGGTGACGAAAAATAATGGAAAATTTGAGAAGGTATGGGACAATTTTCGCAAATAGCAAATAAATGACGAAATATTGCGAATTCAAAATCAAAATCTGACAAATAATAGTCTGAATCCTTCAAATTTCAGTTGAAGCAATTGCTGATAACATCCAAGTTTGTTAAAAGGCATTCCGAACGCAGCGTGTCGTTGAGATATGGCAGAGCGTTTCGAAGCATTGAAGAAAACTTGAAACCAATCATGCGAGAAAAATTGCGTAGTGCAGTATGAAAAATACTCGTAGCAGGCTCCAAAACGAGGACGACGGGATAACACAATGGGCAATTTTATTGCAAAGAATATGTCGTAGATTATTACAAGGAGCACATCGTAGAGTTCACAACGGTGCAGAATCGACGCCATTTATTATCACACTCGCGGTTGCAATCAAAGTATGATGCGGAGAGCAGAAGTGCCGCTCTTGGCAGCGATACATGCTGCTGCTGCTGCCCTGGCAGAGGAGCGGTACCTACACAAGCCACAACTACAGCAACACAAAGACCAACAAGCAAGTGGCCACACAACCTAGGTATACAGCTCGTAGGGTAGAAATTATAGTAAAGTTTATTCTAAACTTCTTCACGTGTGATTATCTCGGAGATATTGCAATAAAAATATTTTCTCAGTCATACCAGTGGATTTAAATCAAAAATTACTTTTTTGCATTTTTGGGCTTCATTAAACGGCCTAACAATCGTTACTCATATCAATACAGTTACAGCATTCAGAAAAGAATATTTTGTAATTCCAGGTACAAAAAGTGCTGCGTACGAATATAAATTTAAAAGCGAAATTCATTTTAAACACTTTTTCCCGTGGTTTATTGCAATTTACGTCAAGTCATGCCATTCATTTGAATAAAATTACAGCCTGAGTTCGCAGTGGTGGACAAATCGCTGTAGTTAAGAAGACCATTCGACCTGACCACCTTCGTAAAATATTTCTCGGGAATGCGCCGATTAAATGTCGTGATTCTGATATTAGAGGATGTACACATGCAATTAGATATATAAATGGAACAAATTTATATGGCTTATGAAAGTTTAGGGTTTTTGTCTTATTGGGTTATTTATCAAAGGTAAATTATTCGTTCAATAGGCTAGTTTAGCGAGAATAATATTTCAAAATCAACAGAAAAAATACACGGCACCTTTTGGTTTCAAAATGTTTTATTCTATACATTCTTCTTAATTTCTGAAGAGAGTGTTTAAAAGTCCTTGAATATAGCTGGGCTAAAGAATCTCGCAGGAAAACTATTAATTATATATATCATCGAAGAGTTGTTGAGATTATATTCATATGCAGATCGTCATCAGATATGTCTCGTGCAAATTAACTGCTAAGACAGTGAGATTATCGAAAAAAATCAGAAGGAAATTTCGAGCTTAGTCCAGAAGTGAAAATCTGCTTCGGATCTTCCTGGTCTTAAAACCGATGGAAACACATTCCACGTAAGGCTCTGTATGTTATAAATGCCCTGTCTTCAACAATTGCTTTCTACATTAAAATGTAAAGCATTTTAACCATTCATACGTACCTGGCATAGGATATTTAGAAATCAGGGTTTATATTTTAGCTCTCACCTCCAAATCCAGGCCGGATTCGCTTGTCGTAGTTCGCAAGAAGGCTGTCTAGGAGCTGGGTCACGTTGCGACTGAAGTCTTTCGCATTGTAGGTGCTGCTGAATGCCTCCGCCAGTAGCAACCCACTTCTCATGAAACAATGTTCCGAAGATTTCGTCGCTGCGGTGCGTCCAAAGAACGTTGAAGGGAAAACTTCGTTCGTCGGCGTCCAGTCGTTGTCGTCGGTCAGCGACCAACACGGATTGTGTACGTTGGGGATGCGGACGAAAGGTCCAATTATGAAAAGATACAACGCAAGGCATGTAACAATTAGCTTAAAATGAGAAAATATCGTCGGGAATGTGGGGTGGATTTTGTATCTGATGAATGAATTATCTGAATTTTTGTGTTTTATTTCATTTTGTCGCCTCCATCTTTCAAATTTGAGCTTAGTGATTCCTTCTCCAGCTATTTTAGATGAAACCTGACAAGCAGTCTTCTTCTGTATGGGTTGCGCAAGACATTTGAGGAGCCATTTGGCCGCGCTCAGCTCATCTACTTGACGCCGATCGTCGTTACCCTCCACTGTGGTATGATCCATTTGTAGCCTTATTGACATGCCTTCGTTTAAAGTTTCTCCAATAAGAGTTCCCCTCAAATTCTTAGCGAAAGATATGTCATTTTCAAAAAGACCTTCATCGCTTTGCTGTCGTGACTGCTGTTCACCACACTTGGCATCGATGTTCACTAAACCTTTCCTATACCCAAATGAGGCAATTCTATCTCCAATTTCAGAAATTTTATTTGAAGCTATTATCAGCTGCTCACTAGTTCTTACAGGACAAACGTCAATGTTCCTTCGCTGATATGCATGGCGAGCACCGGGTAAAGATTCATCGTGGTTCTCAGGTGAAGAGATCGATTTTCCGTTCACTCCGTCACAGCCTTGTAGCCTGAGGGAACTAACTGGTTCTTCGAAGATACAAGATGGAAATTCCGTTGCAAGAGAGGAAAAACGAATCTCATTTTCTTCCAATTCAAAATCAGCAACCACGCCGTTCTCACCGCTTATATTTTCTTGCGTGCTTATAGCTTTCAAATGAGCCGTTGGTATACCTTCCTGGCGGCTTCTGTGACCAAATTTCATATCGCTACGAAAACGTACGAATTGTAATCCATCATCCTCAAAATTTGGCTTATCTTCGCAGCTTTCACATGCACACGCTGCCATTTTTTTCATCCTATTGCAAATTCCGCTCCTTCTACAACTAAATTTTTTATTGATAAGTACTCACATGGTGCAGAATGGAAACACAAAAACTTACATTAAAGGAAAATTCTAATCAACCTGAAAAAGTAGAAAGCACTCGTCAGACGTTCTAAGTATATTGATGGAAGTTAAGGTTGTCATATTCATAAAATGTTCAACACGTTCTTTTTATTGGGAGATACTTATTCGAGTGAATGATGTGAGAAACAATTGTCATGGTTGTATTTATTCAATCGAAAGATATATTTTTTAGACGACGAGAAACATTAACCCTTGCCGGAGAGCATGGGTACAATTATTGGATCTAAACTTGGTACGTAATAACCTTGTAAAATTATGCAGTCTGACATGAGTTAAATGTGAGTCAATTCAATGATAGAAGTATTGAGAATTTATACGACTAAATGTTTAAGTTTCGGTTCAGAACCTAAATGGCCAAAATGAGACGAAGCGACGTGAAACGTTATCGACCAAAATTTTCGGGAGGGCGAGAACTATGATCGTCGTTCAAAAAGTGGTTTTCGTTTACGACAAGCAAGGCTTCCAAATTACATTACATATCTCACTAATTTCAGGAAGTAAATACATAAAAAAATTTTGAAAAAACTGTCTACACAGTCATTACTGCGCTGATTTTATAGCTTAATTTGATGCAGTGATTGATTCTGCACACAGTTGATATTCTTCGTGCCTCTTAAGCTGAGGAAGACCAAAATCTACCAAAATAATGTTAGGTTATGTTAGTTGAGTTAATAGTCAAGATAATATATTGGAACATAACTGCACATGTTCCCTGCCAAAACCGACGTCCAATTTCAAACTTCAATAACATCAGAAAGAACGTATTATTTTCTTCGCCGAAAGCCTTCTTACTTATGTCGTGACTAACTTCCTCATGAATTAAATTATAGCATTCTTCTTTAAACAGTAAATGTAATTATATTATTGTAGATTAAACATAACTTGATTTGGCAATACTATTAAGTAATCTAAAAATTGAAGCCACAAGAGCAAGGCCCGCAAAGAAAATAGACTGGTCACTGAACCGAAAAAATACGACTCAAGCCGGGACCGTAATTTTCCCCTGGAGTGTCATCAAACAATACTTTGACATTACCCGCTAACCGATCGAAAGAAAAACTTTTATTTTAAATCGAAAAAAGAACTGCGTTTGCAGTACTTTAATTTTAAGAATCACATGATTCGAAGTCATCCATGTTTGCCAAGCCGAGGATTATTGCCGTTTAGCAGTAATTTCAGGACAGCTTGCAGCATGTTCAGAACAAAAAAATATAACTCAGTGAGTGACAGAGAGCGCATTATCTCGGCGACGAATACATGGAGTCACGGACAGACGGACATACACAGACGGAAGGACGGACATGACGAGCACAATAGCGTCTTCTTTTCCATTAATGAGAAAATGCGCTAAAAACGTGTCGAATCTCAGTAGTATAATAATTTGGATAAACTAATTAGGTGAAACTAATTATGGCTGCATCAGCGCTTAGTGAAGTATAAAGTAACGCGCCAACGCAACTGAGGGCAGCTATAGCGCACTATATCGCGGCTGTAAAAACACGTTGGCAGAATGTCAAATAGTAATTAAATCTGCCTTTTTTTACTAATAGAAGATATAGAGAAACATGAATAACTACAGTAATCAGTAGTAAAACATTTTCAAATAATTATAAGTATTAATTTGGGGAAGCTGCAACATGAAAAGGTTTTGCAAATATTTTCGGGATATTAACTCTAGCATCGGCTGGATGAAAGAAAAAAATGTTCTCTTTGGTGACTATTCATCTGCGTTAAATAATAACCCAAAACGCTTCACTTTGTAATGGTGAAATTATTCGATCGTCGATCAATAATGAAAAGTTTGTCTATTAAGCCTATTACTAATTCTAGATCTATGAAAACATTGACTTTTATTCAAATGATAGAAATTATTACGGTTGAAAAAACTAAACTCTCCTTATCAATGTAAAAACTCAAAAACTCCAAACTACCGATAATTGTAACCCTCTAGACTACTCCCAGTTCGAACCGTTCAAACAAAAATCGGTTAAAACTCTATATAAGAAAAATTGAAAATTGAACCTGGATTGATGACAGCATTAACCGCTGAATAAGCGTCCAATTACGGATAATTCGCATCGCATTTGACATGCCAATTAGAAAATAAACTAACTCGACTTTAAGTTGATGAAAACACTAACAGGTTAAGAAACTCCAAAATATTTCATATTGAAGAAAACCACATCTTCAAAGAGATGTAGTGAAATCAGTCCGGCACGCGTCGAGGTAGCCAGAGCTCGAGCAGGCCTTGGCACCATGCAATCTCTCCACACCACAGCCAGCAAGCGACTGATCTCAGGTGTACCTCAATCAACAAGCAAGAATATTCTTTATGTTTCTTCCCAGTTGCCTTTAACAATTTAAAATAATATTAACACAGCATTGATGTAATAATTAATGCTAAAAGTAACTTAGAAGCTTTTAAAAAATAACTTTAGTTTAAAGTTTGAATCAAGCGCGAGTGATGATGCTGGAGACTCCCACCTGGCGAGACGGTCCGCTGGGTGTGACCTTTACCGCCACCACGCTTCTGGCCTGCCTTCTTAAACGCTGTATCTACGTATATAATGCCTAGATATATCCGTATAATGCATTGAAAATTTGTTTATTGATGGAAAACTCGATAATAGCAGTCGATAGTTCATGATCAAGCCTATATATATATGACCTATGATCAAGCATACATAGTTTAAATATATTGGTTTAGTATTTCCAGGATGATCATTTTCGATCAACATTACCCAATTTCAGCACAAAACGGATAAAATTGATTAAATTTGCAGCTACGGATGCTAAAGAATCACATTTATAAACTTTTATTGGATTGAAGTGACAGGAAGTTACTTGAGCACAAATTTCAGCAAGTGACTATGGATATTGCAGCCGTTAGTGTTAATTATTGAAGCACTTAGGAAAATAAAATAGTGGACATCAAAAAAAAAATTCCAATTTACCTGCTGAGGGAGTCACTTTCACTTCTCATTGATCATTTAGTTGGAAATTTAATTGATAATAACGCTAAAAAATGTACAGTAACTTCCGCCTACCATTCGCTCATGAACAGAAATTTTGTGCCTTCTCCAGGATGTCATATCCTCTGCTGTGCTTGAAGTTGTCGCCGAGTCATCTAGCAGCGGTAGAGTTAGAATAGAATGAGGGCTTCAATAAAATCAAGGTGCTTCTCGCAACAAGGAAATTCATCTCCACACAATTTAAGGTTTTATTATTGTTGATTAGTACAAATACAATTTCGCTGCTCATTCTTGATTTACTGTTCGTTTTAAGCTGCACGACTGTATTAAATTCCAATGGAAGATTTCATTGTAAACTTGAAAATTGCGATTAAACTGCTCGTAGATCATAATAAACCAAAATTGACCAGACTTAAGCATTTGAATTCAATCTTGATGCTTCAATTAATTTAGTCCGTCTTTTAGACATAAATTAAAAATTGTACCCTATGTTTGATAAGAAAAAACTATGTAAATAACAAATGAAATACAGCTTACATACTTGATATGTATGAGCCGATGATCTCGATTAAATTTTAATGATTTGAGGGAAATTTTGTCGCATTCAAGGTTTTAGTAACATTCAGAAGCATACAAGCCAATAGTTTTAAATTTTGATAATCAAATGAAAATAATAATTCCCAATAAGCATGTGGCGTCCTCTATGCAGGAGAAGGGAAACCCTCAGTTTGGCAGAGGTCGTCAGTGAGGGAGGGTTGAGGCGCGCGCTGCTCGCGCGAACGAGAACTCGGCTCAGCCATGTGGCTGATGTTGCCAGTATCTATAATACTGGCATTTTTCGCTTGTGATGGGTGAGTAATCGGAGAAATTTCATAGACTTAATTCTGTAAATGTAGGTTTTTTTTAATTACTTTCATTAACAAGCCTGTATGTAACCGCGAAAATTCAAGGCAGTTTTTTGTGTTGACGTAAAGGAATCGTGAAGTAATTGAGACTCAGAGGTGTCGAGCGACGGAGGCCAACAAGAAATTTGTGGGTAAATTTGGCAGAGATATCGCAGCAGCTGCCAGACTCGCTGTACACTTTGTTGCTATTGCACGAGTTGCCTCTTGTGGCTGCGCTGCCGCACCGCCCGCTGCTGAACCTCCACCAAATGATAGTTCAAAAACTGCCGCTGCTACAGCGCCAGCGCACGCGTCACCTGTTGCTTCCATAGGGATGAAAGCCTGCACTACCCCCTTTCATTTCAGCTCAATAATAACTGAAATTTAAGAAGGTATTAAGAAAATGGCGTAGTCATGGACGCTGAACACTGCACATAAGTGAACATCATTCGTCATTGAATAACCGGTGTATCCCTGTAGTCTCATGAGCTCTCAATATTAACTGTGTTAAATGAACGCTCTTGTCGGCAGCGTCAAGTAAAAGAATATAGTGAATTCTTGCGTTCCTTTCAGAATATTAGACTTATTTACTTCGCAGGCTTGCGGTGCGCAACAACGACGTTGGGCAGAGAATCGCGGAGTTGCTCGCCGACTATGACAGCAGACTGCGCCCTAACTTCGGTGGTGAGTGTCGTAAATTTGTCAATTGAGCATATAATTTCGGGATAAATTCGAAATTTTAAAAGAGGGCAAAAGAATATTGAACCGATTTATCCAACTATAAAATAACGCCCTAGTACTGGATTAAAGATTGATCATTACTTTTTCTTGATGCAGCCCGTCAGTGATGAATAACAATTATAATTGATGAATTCTAGCAATTATTTTTATAATTACAAAATTACAATTAAAACAATAGTAAATTGGGTCACGTGGGCTCGTCAAGCACGAGACCGAGTGAAATCCTATAGAATCTAAGTTCCGAGTTGCGTTGGTTGCTGAATAATGAAAGCTCTGTGCAGAATTTCATAAGAAATAGTTGCTCTGCTTTTTATTCTTAATTATTATATTCATAATTATTTATGGAACATATCATAAACCATGAGTACATATCCTGGTTTAATGGTGAGCAGTCATGCGTATACGAAAGTTGATCATTCAGACCAAGTCGATGAATTCTTGTTATTCTGCAAGAGGAAGGTTGTTTTTTAGAGCAGGAATTATGGCGCATCGATGAAATGAAAAAAAAACCATCGAGTAATTAAAGAGTGCCTCAATTCGCGTCAAGCTCAAGTTCCTAAAAAAGCAACTTGCTTTTTAGCGTATTTTCTCATTTATGAAAAAAATGCACTATCGTGCTCGCCATGTTCGTCTGTCCGTCCGTCACCACGTTTTCGTCGACGAGAAAATGAGCTCTCTGTCCCTCACTGCAGTGAGGAGTACTGAGTTATACATTTTTTTTACCCAAGGTGAGCCTTGCTACATCGGCATGGACATCACCATCGCGTCGTTCGACTCCATCTCGGAGGTGAACATGGTGAGTAAACTCGCCGTTGATAATGTTATTTAATGGCTTATATCTGCCGTAAGTCAACATGAAGTTGATCGTAGTGACTCAACGAGTTTCAACTACGGTGCTTTGCTGAGAGCTTGAACTTTGTGAAATTTTTAAATATTATTTTCTTCGTATGGCTACAGATTAATTAATGGCTTGCAGAGCCGTAGGCTTCCATGTTGCTCATTAAATATTTCTGTTCAAGGCTGCCAAATCGAGATTTATAAAGTTCCTCTGTAATCATGACGCATCGACATCGAGCTATGTTACCTCATGAAAGCCAAACCCTAGAGGATCTTTTCGTCGTTATTACATTCCATCAAAGTGAAGTAAAGAAGTTTAGTAGGTACAGAGCGATGGATTCTACCTCGTACGGTGTTAAGCACGTGATTGAAACTTCAAATAATGAATGGTAAAACATGTGAGAGGTCCCTTATCGGGGCTGTGTTGACAGAAGTGAGGTTGAAAACCCATCACTTAAAATCTTGAACCATGCACCAGCCATCTCTGTGCCAGGCATTGTGTGTAAAGAACTGGTATAAATTTGGTTTAATACGTACTGATCTTAATAGGAGACCAAAAATTAGTTTCACGTACTAACTCTTATCAGTCTCCGTTTAGATCCACCTTGTTTCTAGCATTGAATATTAGCATATCAATTGTTTCGTTATTCCTCTCATGTGCTAATAATTATATTCATGTTTTAGTTGGACCCATATAAGAATAAACGAAATTTATCCAAATCTACGATGAGACACAAAATTTCATAACTATATTTTTTGATAAGATCCAGTATGTGAAGAATAACGAAATTCAGCTGCAGCTTGCATGCAAATATGCTCATTAGAAGTAGGCTTGTGATTGAGGAGAAGTTCTGGGCCCAAATTTTACGACTGTCAGTAAGTTTATGCATGTCGATTCGAAAAAATCGACGTAAGTTCCTGTCGACGACTGGTTTTCGCGTGGATCGTCAAATAGTTGGTTGTGAGGTGTCCGCTTCATTAGTGTATTTTACGTTGTCATACCAGAGGCGCTAATAAGGACGAAGGACACGAAGGATCGCATGATGGGCAACACGTTTTTAATACTTACTCAAAATTTATATACCAAAAAATACATCTACCCAACATTTGGCTACGCAATGTAAAGCTACTCAAAATTCAGCTACACAACATGCAACTTCGTAACTTACAGCTGCATAACATGTTCGGCATCTCGAGCGGGAATTAAAAGAAACTTTGGGCCGAATATTACAGAAGTATTCTTAATTTGTATAGACATTCACCTACTGTAGACGCGCATTCAGCAAGACTTTGGAAGCATTGCCGAATGAGTTGTCATCAATTTTTTTCAAATCTTTGCATCAAATAGCTTCCCAATCACCAACTTCACAATACCTCAGAAAGTTTCTTTCTCCGCAGGACTACACCATCACAATGTATCTCAACCAGCGCTGGAAAGATGAACGACTAGCCTTCAGTTCAGATGATGAAGTTGTCACAATGCCGGGAGAATTTGCTGAGATTATCTGGGTGCCCGATACATTCTTCGCCAACGACAAAAGCAGGTATGCTCGAGATTGACCAAGTCGTCCAATTGGACGCCGCTGTGGTCTTACGGTGAAGGAAAATATTCACTAGGAGCTCAGGACTAGTACGAGTCATGAGTTAGTATATGAATTAGCAGACCTGTTTGCCGGATTCAGGAAGCATGCTGATTTACGCCTCTGTACACAGTTTTTCTCATCCCATCTCAGTTGTTAAAGGATGGGATCCAGTTAAGCAGTGGAACCAAACGATGGGTCCCTGATGCGACCTCATGGCGTAAAAGAAACTTAAGTTTGCAAACAGTCACTATGTCCACATAAAAATACTGACTTCTAATAGATCTCGAAAACCAATCAAAGCGTTCGTGGGAGCTTGAATTTAAAATAACGATAACGAAGCAATGATAAGATATTTATCGTTGCTTCGTTTTTATTTATCGTGGATGCAAAAGGTATCCGACAAAAAGGAAAAATTTTGTTCAATTAAAGCTTATCCAACAAAATAACATCAACAAACACTATTCTAACGTAAATTTACGTGGGAAATACAAATATATCAAACAAAATCAATAAATGTCGACTTAAAATTGCAATTTGTGAAAATCATGGTTCAAAAAGTATCCGACACTGTAATAATCCGGTCTTCGACCACCAAGCAACCAACCGGTAACCTCACCTAACGGTTCGCATTGACCATCTTTGTCTCACCTACCAATGACCGGAAGCTGAATTGGCTGCCCAATTGGCTGCGAAGCAATGCTTAAGGCGGGACGGGATTTATGACCAACTGCAAGTTTCTCAAAGTTTATTAAGTAACAAATTCAACAAGTAGTCTACTACGGAGCTAAGACGCGGAGGAGAGAGAGAGAGAGAGAGAGAGAGAGCGAGCTAGTTGAGGGACAAAGTTCTTGATCCTATGTAGGAGAAAAATGAACATCTAAATACGCTGGTAATTCAGACGCCTGATGACTACCCTACCAACGGCCTTACATGACACCACATTATTTCTTCATGATATAAGCCACCTATCAGTAAACACACAAAAAGTCGCAGTAACAGGAACACGAAATACGGTAACAAAATACAAAAGTATTTAATAGTAACACAAAATACGGCTCACCTAGGCGAATGTCAGGTAATCGGCAACAGGCCATGGGCCTATTTATTCAGTGCCGACACTTCTATTCACTTCTATTCCAAGCGAGGCACCAGTACGCCAGTCGGGATTGACCCAGCTGCTACTACCAGCCTCGGCCTACATCAGCGCCGGTATACTTAATCTATACGGTCTGAATGCAAGCAGGGAATTGGCAACCTACATACAACATTACAAACACATAGTAAACAAATTTGCTCAATTCCTCGTCATGTAACCTTTAGCAGTCAAAACTGCTTCTAACCTATTGGAATACTTGTTCACACGATTAACACCTATGCTATTAGGAATTTAGCCCACTGTTCTTTGCATATTTCTTTCGATTGGATAAGAATTCTTGGATCTCTCTCCTGCACCCTCTATTTTAATTCCCGCCACAGATTTTCAATCGGATTGAGGTCAGGTGATTGGCTTGGCCATTCCAATAACTCAATGTCTCGCCCCTAAAGCCATGCAAGAGTTGCCCTAGCCGTGTGCTTAGGGTCATTGTCTTGTTGGAATATCCAACTTCGAGGAAGGTTCAATTTTTTCTGCTGACTTCACGAGACATCTCACAAAATGCCCCGATACGTTTCGCAGTTGATAAAGCAGGCTGTATCAACCTCTATTTCCAATTCCCCAGGGTCTGCAGAAGATAAACAATCCCAGAGCATTATGCTGCCACCTCCAAACTTCACTGTTGGGACGGTATTCTTCGGGTGAAACACAGAATTCTATATCTGTCTCCAAACACGACTGACAGTTCCGACCAAATAACTCAAATTTGGTCTCATCTGACCCTAATAATTTATCCAAAATGCTTGAAGGTATACTCACGTATTCTTTAACGAAGTTCCGACGGTTCTTTACGTGAATTTCCTTCGAGAGAGGGGTTTTTCTTGGTGACAGAGAGTGGAATCCTCTCTTTCGAAGAACTGTCATTGTATTCTTGCAAAGTCCAACTTGATTGCTAGTCTTTTCGCAGTTCAGAGTGGATCAGTCGAGGATTATTTTGTACTTTTCGAACTAAACTCCTAGTTGTCCGGTCATGATTTTTTGTAGGACGCCCTCCTAAACGAGGCAGACTAATCGAAAGATGGAATGATTTCCACCTCCGAACATTATCACCAACTATCATATATTGAGATATTTGACACAGATGAAATTTTTCTACAGACTAAACTTTCTCTGTGTGGCAGATAATTGTTTTTCCGGTTCAGTCAGACAATTCTGCAGTTTTATGCATATTTGACGAGCGTAAAATCTAGGTCACCTTCTAATAACGATGCCAGTTAATGAATGACTGCATTCAGTATGACTTCTATGAAGTTCTTTTGCATTCTAGAATATTCCAACGTTTTCTGATTCTAGAATTTCCTCTGAACATAATGGATGAGAAATTATTGGCGAATCAAATTTTTTTACGATTTGTTGGATACTTTTGAACCTTGACTTTTACAAAATTGTAATTATCAAGTCAACATTTAACGATATCGTTGTTTTGATATGATATTTGTATTTCCCATGTAAATTTACATGAGAATATTGTTTGTTTATGTTATTATGTTGAATAAGCTTTAATTAATTAATAAGTTTTTCTTTTGTGTCGGATACTTTTTGCACCCACTGTATCCTGATAAAAAATACTGTAAAGAAGTTAAATAAAACTTGTTTGTCTGTCCCATCGTGCAGTAAACTGAACACCCATCAACCTAAGCAATATTTTTTCAGTTACCTGCACGACGTGACGGAGAAGAATAAGATGATTCGGCTGCATGGCGACGGCACCATCGCTTATGGCATGCGCTTTACCACGACACTCGCGTGCATGATGGACCTTCGGTATTTCCCTCTGGACATACAGAAATGCTCCGTCGAGATAGAGAGTTGTGAGTATCTTAGCACGATAATTCACCAGAAAAGGTTAAAATGAGCCCCATGTACACACCAAAACTCATAGTAGTAAAGGAGTTGCGAACACGAGCACACTTGTCTCGTTCCCCCACTGGAGACAAAATATTTTTTCTCCTTGGGACAGATTAATTTAATTTTAATGCAATGAAAGAATGAATACACATTAACAAAAAATTGAACGTTTTTGCAGCTACTGAAATGATGTATTGCGAAACAACATAAAAGAATGATCGAGACTAAAAATCAGGACGAAAATACATTTGGACGAAAAATACTAAAATATTTATGCAAGGAAGGTACCTCAGTTGCATAATGCTGATAGTTCTCCTGTTCTAGTTCTATTAATCAACTAGGTACTTAAATGGTAAGAAAACGCTCTAGAAAGTATTTTAAATAATCAAATCAATTCTATACCAAGAAGAAAATTTTCAGTTATGTTTTCGGGCTCCTGGTAAAAATCATTTTATACCTCGAGTCTTCATATTATAAAGCTTATTAAGCTTACCGGCCATGTGCGTACCAATCATAAATAATCGCCTAATTCTAATTAAATTCACTTGTTACAATCTCAGTGATGATTTGTGTAATACTTGTCATCAATTACTTTTTAGCCTAAAAAATTAAATGATTAAAGTGAAGTACTCATCAATACCGTACACATCAATAGCTATGCTCACAGCTCTTATAAAGGCGCTCATGAAACGCATTTTTTATGATTTAGGAAACCAATGCATCGGATGTTTATTGAAACGAAAATTACGAGAATAATCTTTGCTCAGTCTTCCTAGATAAATGATGAAACTTGCCAGGTGCCGAATTTGCATAAAGACCTACACGAAATTAAAAAAAAATATTATGTCTTTGCAGATGGCTACACCTTAGCGGAAGTGGTCATGTACTGGCAGGATATAGCGGTCGTGGGCGTAGAACAAGCTGAACTACCGCAGTTTACCATCGTGGGATACAACACCACGTCCCGTATTGAAGAGCTCGCTACAGGCAGTTACGGTCGACTGGCCATCACCTTCGAGCTGTCCAGAAACATCGGATATTTCATTTTCCAAACTTACCTGCCGAGTATCCTTATCGTAAACTTATCATGGGTCTCCTTCTGGATCAACCATGAATCAACTCCCGCTAGATGTACTCTAGGCGAGTCTGAATGAGGCTAATATTCATTATAGCGAGTGTATTGCAGTATTGAGCGATGAGGGGCCAACTTGGGTTTTATTTGGAATTCGATTTCTTTACCATAATAAATAACCAAAATTGATTGTGGTACAAAATTCATAGATTCAAAATTAAAAAGCAAAGTATAGGGTTATTTTAAGTGATGGATCTAATTTAATAAATTAGTAATTATTGAAGTATAGATTAAAAATTAATAATTTATGCACAAATGGAAAGAGAAATATTCAATTTTTTATATATTTATAAATTTTCCATATGTCTCTCTTGTGCTTCACGGCAAACATCTAAACGGTAGCCAAACTTGTCCCATACACGAGAAAGCATATCTTCTGTTACTGAGTGCACCGTGGCAGTGATACGGTTCTTCAATTCATCCAGAGTTGCTGGTAGAGGCGGGACGTAAACAGAGTTGCTGGTAGAGGCGGGACGTAAACAGAGTTGCTGGTAGAGGCGGGACGTAAACAGAGTTGCTGGTAGAGGCGGAACGTAAACAGAGTTGCTGGTAGAGGTTGGACGTAATTAAACAGAGTTGATAGTAGAGGCGGGACGTAAACAGCTTCATAGACGTAACTCCATAAGAAATGGTCACATGAGATCAGGTGATCTCGGTGGCCAGAAGTGTAGAGCCAAATCTTAATTTCCTTTGCGTCCTACCCAATGCTCAGGAAGTGACTGATTAAAAAAGTTCCGGGTGTCTAGATGCCAACGGGACAGCAAGATGCCAAGGTTAAAATTTTTTGTAATATTTCTCTTTCCTTTGGTGTATAAATTACTCATTTTGAATTTATGCTCTAGTATGTTCGACTTTGCCAAATTGGGTCCATCACTTATAATGACCCTGTACAATACTTGAAATTTTGAAATGGCGCGTGGCACTGCGTGAAAAACTACGGTATTGTTTATGGAATAATGTACAGAAATTTATTTGTCCTGTAACGTCTTAACTTGGTTCAGGCATCACGACCGTACTCACCATGACGACCATCAGTACGGGTCTGCGGGCTTCCCTACCTCGCATCTCTTACGTGAAGGCTATCGACATTTACCTCGTCATGTGCTTCGTCTTCGTCTTTGCAGCCCTGCTAGAATATGCTGCCGTTAACTACAACTTCTGGAGTCAAAAGTGAGATACACTAATAAAATTTTACATGTGATCAACTATTGAGGTTAATGTATTGGTGTACTATTTTACTCACTGTTTCATCATCAGCTCGTGAGATTCACGACAGATAAATTTTAGAATTAGTTAATCAACACACCGAACTACTCATCTGACGACTATTCTTTCAACCTAGTGCCCATATGGCTCAGTATTTTATAGCAGGCTGACGATGGGAATATAAACATTTTTAGAAAAAGTTCTAAAAAAGTTCCTCAAGCTCTGCAGCATATCGTGCTAGTAGCCGTGGATCAATGAATAATCTTTACTGAGTAAACTTGTTTATTACATGTTAGGATGAAGAAGCCTACAAAGGTTAAGCCAGCCAAGGTTAAGTCTAAGCATGCTCCACTCCTTCCTCCGCCTGGCAAGATGGACGGCGTCGCCAACCAACCTCATGAGATCATCGAATTACAGGATGCCACGAGTCCGATTCCTTCGATAAGGTGCTTAATTAGTAACTGAGTCCACTCATTAATACTTAGTCCACTCATTTATAAATGAGTGGAAGATCATGATGGACTTAGTGCATTCAAGAGCCTTGTTGTAGTGGGTGCTCCACTCCATCTCGGAAATGCCCAGAAATGAGTTTTTTTGATGCTACACTTTAACACTTTGAAAAGGGCAATTATGATAACGCAATGTTATTGAATGTAGAATGTCGTAAAACGCAAGTTATTGGTTTCAGGGAAAGTTAAACATTTTCTGTAAAATGAGCAGGATTTATAGTGGATCATCATTGATCATTGCCTCATTCATATTCCTTCTGTGGTTTGATAATGAATAAAAATAATGTTCACTTATTTGGTAAATCCCGATACAGCAGTTTTTCATGTAACAAGTTATACGCATGCTGAGTTAACCACATTCTACTCCAACAGACATCGGCACAACTCGAAGCTTTTCAGCCGGGAAAGCAGTTTGCAAGACCTCAAGTTTCCATCATCTTTCCGGATCAACAGGAACTACATGTCGTCGCGTAGCCTGTCGAGCCTCAACAAGCAGCTGTCGCAAAGGAAACTAATTGACACTATTTGCAAAGGAACTGCAAAGGCCAAAGCTAGCATCCCTAAATTAACAGATGTCAATGTCATCGACAAGTACTCACGTGTCTTCTTCCCCATCTCTTTCATGATTTTCAATATAGGATATTGGGGCTTTTACTACTCATAAGGCTAAACTTGAGGCAAACCGAAATCACTGTCTTCCAGCCCCCAAAAAATATTCCTCAAAAGGCTCATATTACTACCGAATTATAACCTCGATGCCAGTCTAGTCATCTCTATTATCAATGAGAAATTTTTTCACCCATCGAAACTTCTTTGTCTGTTCCAAATATCGTGAAGAAATGTTTATGACGTCATGAGGAATTGCTCTGACATGCAGGATCTCATCGTAGATAGATTATTTTTAACCATTTTAACCATTGTCAATTCCAAAACAGTCATTTGCCTTCTTAATATATAGATAAATTAGTCCATGTAATCACAGATAAAAAGTGAATTTTGTATAGCAGTGACATCATTCTAATAAAAAAATTAAAACTCAAAAACTTGCTGCCATCGAACTCTAAAAAGCGATTTGTGCTAATTCACTAATTTAGTTAATTGCTCCAAATACAACGGTTCATAATTTTGTTTCTTGTAAATAATGTATAGCAAATGTGTTTGGTAAGTTTCCGCATTAAAATCTATTCAAGTAACAGAGAATAAAAATTTAGAGATTGATTTCTTCGAGTAATTAAGTCTATTGAATTGACTGTTTTGACCATTTGTTGATAATTGCTTTGATCGAAAAAAACCTCACGAAATACCATATTTAGGCTCATTTCAGAATAAAATTGACAATCGGAATGCATTATCTCCCGAAAATTACGTATTTAATGTGTTTCCGCTAACAATTTTCCTATTTTCTGAATTCGACAGTTGATCACGTAAAATTTGATAATGAGTGAAGTCTCACAAAATTATATTAGGTGTTGAAGCTATGTTGATTCTTTGAATGATCGGCTGAACCTGCGTAATATTTGTTTCACTTCCAAAAATGTAAAATGTTCTCGAAATCAAAATCTAAAAGTTGTATATATCAAGCCAAGTTCAGCCTTTCCACCATAACAGTTCATGACCCTTCAATGAATATTATTGGATAAATACAAGCTAATTTTTGTTTCAAAATAATATCACTGGAATTAAGAGTTTCTAAAATGAATTTGATAATTTATAATTTGAATATTCAATAATTTTATCTTCTAAGCCACAACAGTGTTCCATTTACGTATGACCTCGTTGACTGTGTCTGTGTTCGCAGTGACTTTCGGTGTCAAATATAGTATGTGATTTAGTAGATATGTGTTGTGCCTCATTATTTACCCTTTTTAAAACATTTGGTTTACACTCGAGAACCAATCAAATAGCTAAAAGATTTTCTTTCTAACAGAAGTCAAAATCGTGAGTAAAAGACTATTAGTAATATTTTTATTAGTTTTGTTATTAGCGCACTACTGTGTCACGACTTCAAGCCGACATTGATTTTAAAATAAAGATATGAACATTTGGTTCGCAATGTTACTTCTGTTTTCTTATTTTATTTAACTCTTTACCGCCTTACATGAGTAACTGAAGCAATATTGTCACAAGCCTTCTTCCCAAATAGGAGTGAGCGCAAAATTACTTGCACTGATGTATATAGTGTGAGCAAAATTACTTGCACTGATGGTGGCCGCCACGTACGACAACTTTAAAATGTTCTCTGTATAATATAAGTTGAAATTAATGTTCCCGGAGAGTGACAGACGGCGGAAGAGGGTTAATGGGACCAATTATTACTGTTATTATTCTACGGAGCGGTTATCGTGGCGTCTGGTTCAAACAAAATTCGAGGGCACATTACACGTAAGTTAAATAGCAAGAGAAAAATAAGTTGACACGAAAAATGATGAAAACGGCTAAATATTACTAAACACTTGATTTTTAGAGGCTCCACGTTATAGATTAGGCGACGGCGAAAAACCTGCAAAGCAGGAGCCGATGTTACGGAAGGTGGCAGACAGTTCCAGGTTCTGGAGAAGGCAGATGCGACCGCAGCCTCTGGTATTGTTAAGGACTGGCTAGAGGGGTTACTGGATACAATGAATATGATGATTTTCAAGTGCATTTAATTCGATAAAAGACTTGATAATATAATATCATGTGCGCGATAAGTCAAAATCAGTGCTGTACGACGATATCTTAAGCTATAGAGAACTCGGCACATTCTTGGCTAACTTGATTTGAATGAAAGTAAGAGCCTTGCAGTTTACCGATGTCGTGTACCAGCGTTTTTGCTGAATTGAACAATTATTTTGTCTCGCTAGGACACTGGTGACCTGGCTGAAAATTTGGGCCCTGCAAAAAAGCAACAGTCTGAGTTGTATGGTCATCGACAGGGATGGATCATAAAAATATTGACAAAAAATAAATATTGTCAATGCTGACACTATTGAAAATTGTACTGACACTTCAAATGTTAGTGTTGAGACACTTTACCCCACAACTTTCATTCATAATGATAATGAAATCGACGATGATGAAAGTTACATTTATTATAATGATACTGAAAAATAAAAACCATTCATATGGTAATATTGTAATAAAGTTGTCTGAACCGCATAACAAAAGTCAAAATACTGCTGCAAATGCTGCCAGTGTAGCACAAAAATTGCGCCGCTTCATTTAGTCCGTCTGGGATGTGCAATTTACATACTCCAAAGCACCAGCGTATCAAATAAGAAAAAAGAAATCCGTTTTTAAATTTACCACCTTATTAATAAATAAATTCTAGTCTTAGATTTCAAGGACAACGGCTAGTAAATCAGTGGTCTAATCTTCGCCAGAATCTTCCTTCATTTGGATGAATTCTGAATTATCCTCTGATAAATCATACTCGTTGCTGAAAGTTATTACTTTCACTGGGGCAATTTTATAGAAGTTATTTGTATTTTCTAGTCGTAATCGTGGTAAATGGGATGGACTTAAATACACCTGTTGAGTAATGATTAACCAGTAATAATTTTTTACTTAAACGTTTTCTTCGTAACATACGAGTCATTATTTGAGCCAAGAGTGTAAATCGTAACTTCGAGCTGACGTTGATAGAATATTACCTCAAGTATACATCATCAACAATATTCAAATTTCAAGCTGAAATAAATTGTATTCGACACTCAAAATATTCTAATTTGATGAAATTTACATATTCCTTTTTTTAATTTAGTCAATGGGACAAATCACGATCATCCTTGCATGAAAAATTTTACTGTGTTTTGGGTAAACTCTTGACATTTCACGGAATTTCATTGCAAAAAGCTTCTCCTTTACGAAATAAGATGTCAACTGAAACCTGAACATTAATAATAATTTTGGCAGCGTAACATTATGTTAAATATATATTCAGAACACCTTCAATGGATGGTTTAAAATCGATTAAAAAATTCACTATGAGTTTTGCGAAGGCGGGTCTAAAGTTCGTTAAGGGTTCACTCAAAACTCCGCGGACTTTACTACCACACAGTCAAGTATCCATAAGATGAAATTGTTACAAGGGTGCAACGACATAAGGGGGATTTGTACGAAAATTTTATGCAATAATTTTAATAGCACCTAAAGAGCGTTTCCGATAACTTTTTCAATATTTTGTAATGATATTACATGAAAACTAGGCACTAACACTTATTTCTTGTTTACAACGAAACTGCTTCTTAATTCATTTCGTCTCTCCAAATGCGTTGTGTCAGTAGCATATAAAATCCTTGTGTTTACCTAACGAAAATATTTGCAAGGAAAAGTGAGCGTTGTTGGCTAATTAGAACGATCTTGTATACAGAAGTCATGTACAATCTTCTATGGTCAAAATTGCTTTCCGATTAGTTTCTAAAAAATACATGTAATTTATTCACATTTAACCTAAATGCATTCATGTAATAGACATCTTATTCGTTTACCAGCCTCCAGTGAATTATTTAACAACGCAAAATAATAAATGTTTCTGTAATGTCTTTTCAGTATCACTTAATGTGTGCTTATTTATCCATTTTTGTCGCATTGATTCATTCCTACACTCATTTGAATGGAAACCGCTTTATCACAGGCATGTGGCAGCGTCTGTACAGAAGTGGCAGCTTACGTGTAGTCGAAACAGCTGAAACGGGCTTCAAACACTATTATACAGCGATTTTCGTATTTGCTCGACTTTCCATGCGATGCATTCTGAATTTGAATTTTTGGGCAATATCTTCTCGCTTACTGGATTTCCTTCTGGCTTGGTGTTTACCAAAACTAAGAACATCATGTCTAAGCGAAACAGTGAAGTTGTTCCAGAGCCTGATAATAGAAACGTTCTTTATTATTCTCTTCCATATTTCGGCCATGCGACCGAAGTTATGTCAAAAGATTTAAAAGATTTGTTTATGAAATACTTTTCGGACATTAATCTTCGTATCTTACTGGTCAATAATTTTAAAATAAGTTCGTTTTTTCATAATAACTTCTAAAAATGAACAAAAACGTACTCCTTCCACCCGGTCATGAGCAGAAATTCAGGGACCTTATCCGGATGTCGTAAGTTTTATGTATTCTGCCTGAGGTTACGGCTTGATGAGGCGGTAGTTGACCACTGTCTGTATGTGGATGCAAAACGAATGGATTTCATGAAGTCATAACAATGAAAAGAGACTCCTAAATACCGAAAATGAGGGGTTCAGTAACTTCCAGGTAAGAATATTGCCTCTGACGAAGTTATTCATTACCACATAATATATTACATACATTTGTTCAAATTCGTTGATTAATACAAACTCAATTTCATTGCTCGTTCTTAATAAAAATTTTATTGTACGCTAAGCGATTGTGGTAATTTTAACAGAAAATTCAATTATAAGCGTGCATATTGTGGATTTATTATTTCGTTGATCATAAAAATACCTTTAACGTTGCGCACGTTCAAATTGAACTAATGAAACGGCAATCGTATTAAATGGGGAAATTTGACCGGCTTGCAATACTTTGAATCATAAACTAGTGATAATTTGCAGCATTTATCTCAAAAATACTTCCTTCTTTTACGGAGCTTTCTTTATATGCCTCTTCACCCGATCAAGCACAAGAGAATAATCACCTTAACATTAATCGCTTGCATTAATCGCTTGATGAAGATTTTTCAAGTGTACCTTTGAAATGATCAGACGTGAGCGAAGGAGTACATTTCTGATGCATCCGTTTATTTTGGAAGTTTTCTGACAATATTTCAACATTTGAGTGCAGTATTTGCTATCAAAAATTATGTAAATAGCACGTGAAAGATGAATTAAAATAAATAACATATTAGCCCTGCATATTAATTCGACTTGAGCGTAGGTCTTGATTACTTTTGATTGAGGAGGGAAATTTCGCGGCATTCGAGGTTGTGGCAGCCCCAAAAAATCACATATGCTAATATTTTATTTTTGGAAACTTCAATAGCTAAGTGAAAATAATAATTCCCAATAAGCATGTGGCGTCCTCTATGCAGGAGAAGGGAAACCCTCAGTTTGGCAGAGGTCGTCAGTGAGGGAGGGTTGAGGCGCGCGCTGCTCGCGCGGACGAGAACTCGGCTCAGCCATGTGGCTGATGTTGCCAGTATCTATATTACTGGCATTTTTCGCTTGTGATGGGTGAGTAATCGGAGAAATTTCATAGACTTAATTTTGTATATGTAGGTTTTTTTTAATTACTTTCATTAACAATCCTGTGTGTAACCGCGGAAATTCAAGGCAGTTTTTTGTGTTGATGTAAAGGAATCGTGAAGTAATTGAGACTCAGAGGTGTCGAGCGACGGAGGCCAACGAGAAATTTGTGGGTAAATTTGGCAGAGATATCGCAGCAGCTGCCAGACTCGCTGTACACTTTGTTGCTATTGCACGAGATGCCTCTTGTGGCTACGATGCCGCACCGCCCGCTGCTACAGCCCCTGCAGCGCCTGATGCAAACGTGTCACCTGTTGCTTCTATAGGGATAAAAGCCAATACTGCCTTTGTGCATTTCAGCTCATTAATAACTGAAGTTTCAGTAGTAATTAATATGATAACCTAGTCATGCATGCTAAACACTGAACATTATTGAGCATTTTTCGTCATTGAAAAACCCATGTATTCCTTTGATCTCATGGGCTCTTAATATAAAAGTGTTTTATGCCTGCTCTTGTAGGCAGTGTCGAGTATTCCGTTCCAATCGCCAATATTAGATATTATTTACTTTCCTTCAACCTAATATCATCAAATTTACTACTTATATATCTTATTATTTAGGTTAGGTTTTCTGTTAGCTTCCCCAATAGAAATCTATAACTATGCCAAAATTTTCAGGGTTTCCATGTGCAAAAAAAATATTACCCGAATTACTCGCACCTCGTTCGTTCAACCGCGTATCGCTTAACAATTATTTGCCGTGTTTGAGCAGCTGATCGATAGTTTGGTGAGTGAAAAATTACATATTATATAATAATATAATAATACTAATATAATAATAATAACATAATTCCAGACCAATAAATGTTGCAGGCACGCGGCGCGCAACAACGACGTTAAGCAGACCATCGCAGAGCTGCTCACCGACTATGACATCAGACTGCGCCCTAACTTCGGCGGTGAGTGTCGTAAATCTGCTCATTGACTCCTTGATGAATAGTAGTCAGTTATGTCTATGTGATTACTAATGTTATTACAAAAAGTAGTCATTCTTTAGTGATTTTAAACAACACTGAATGCTGCCACTTGATCCCGTAAAGCACGTGACCGAGTAAAATCCTATAGGATTTAAGGTCAAAGTTCCGGCTATTGTTGAATAACAAAATTACCGTTGGAATGTAATTAAGGTATATTTATTTAAATAGTTTTTATTTGATTCTTAATTAGTATTTTCCTAATTATTATAGGAGTCTCTTCGAAACTATATGAGTATATATCTTGCTATATTGATGGACAGGTTTGAGTGTACAAAGGTTGGTAACTGAGGCCAAGTTAATTAATTAATGCATTTTTGTTAATCGGCAAACCGAAGGCTGCTTTTCAGAGCGTGAATTATGTAGCATCGAGTAAATAGGAAGCATCGAGAAGTTGGGTATGCCTCAATTTCTTTATAGCAAGCCTAATGTGGGTTGAGAAGAGCTCATGTATGGGGAATGTAGGCTCTGCCGAAAAACACTTTTTTCTGGTACAATGTAACTCTATTTTGACTCATTAATGGGTTATTAATATTTGACATTATTTCAATTATTAGACATTATTTCAAAGATAAGATTAGATACTTTCGAAATTAGCGACTTATTTTCAAACAGTGACTCTTGGAAAGGTTTGCAAAGTTTGAACTATGAAAGGTTACCTCGTATTCAGGATTAACTCGCTCCACCCGAAATCGTCTATGATAAAATAATTCGACCAGATCGTTTAGTATCAAAATTATATTAGTGAAACATCATAAATGTCAGCAACTTATTTCTTCTTGAAACCAATCAAATAACTGCGTTGGGCTCAAATTTTTACTGGAATATATTTTTGAGCTTATTTTTTTAAGATGCGGATGTTAAATAATATCAGGATTTTCTCTCAAAATTTACTGCGGGCTACGATGAGTTTTGAATTCCTGCAAACTAATTTTAATTTTCTCACATTCATAATTTTTAAAAATGTTGAAAATATCCAAGTAAATTTAGAGAATTTTAAGAATGCAGATCTGTAGACAAAATTTCTATGAGTATAAAAAAATGTTGAAATATTCTTGTTCAGTCTTTTTAACATTTGCAAGTTCTTAAAGAAAAACTTTTGCTTTTTTACCTAAGGTGAGCCTTGCTACATCGGCATGGACATCACCATCGCGTCATTCGACTCCATCTCGGAGGTGAACATGGTGAGTAAACATCTCCGTTGATAATATTATTCAATGGTTTATATATGCCGGAAGAGCATGAAGTTCAAAGAGCATCAATTATGGTGCTTTACTGAGAGCGTGAACTTCATGAGATTTTTATATATTATTTTCTTCGTATGGCTACAGTTAAATCACTTTAATGGCTTGCAGAGCCGTAGGTTTCTTTGTAGCTCATCAAGTACTTCTTTCGAATTCTGCCTAATTAAGATTTTTAAAGTTTCCATTCAGCTACGCTACATTATGGAAGTCAAATCCTACAGGATATATTCGTCGTCATTGCATTGCATCAACGTGAAGTGATAAATTTAAGTAGAACATAGCGATGGATTCCATTTCGTACGGTGAAAAGCACGAGATTGAAACACAAAATTCTGATTGGTAAAATAAGTGAGAGTTTCGTTATCAGAGTGAGGTCGAAAACCCATCGCTCAAAATCTTGAATCATGCACCAGCCACTTCTGTGCCCAACATTGGTGTGCAAAGAACTGGTTAACTGGCTTCTCGTGCACATATGATTCCATCCCTTTAATGCTGTAATAGGAGGTGTCGTCAGGAGCTTATGTCATTCAATAGATCGAACATTTATAGGCCTACGACACTACACAACCTTCGAATTCGCTAGTCGTTTCGTTAAGATATTACCTATTCGAAATTTACCCCAGTTCCTCCGATGATTCGGTGAGCTAATTTAGTCTAATGTATTTATTTTGTATGTAATATTCTTGAACCATATTGTTGAATACCACGTTAACCTGTTTATCTCATATTACAAAATTTTCGTGTTTTTATGTGCAGAATCTCACCATCAATAAACCTGATAAAAGTATCGAATCATCTTGTTATTTTCACGAAACTTTGGGGAAACCTTTATACTTAGATCCATCATGTTTATAGCATTGAATATTAGCATATCAATTGTTAAGTTATTCCTCTCATGTGCTAATAATTTCACTCGTGTTTAAATTCGGCTAGTATGAAAAATAACATTTATCACAATCTACAATGAGATAAAAGTGTTCACAGCATTTATTTTGATATTCATCTTGTATATGAGGAAGGACGAAATTCAGATGCTGCTTACGTGAAAATCTTATCAATAGCAGTTAGAGAGGGGCTAATTATCCGGCCGAAATTTTGGGCCCAAATTTTATACTAGTCAGCAAGTTCGCGTTGATTTGACAATTCGACATGAGTTCGTGTCGAGGACTGATTTTCGCGTTAATGGCCAATTCGTTGGTTGTGAGGTGTCCGCTTTATCAGGGTATTTTGCGTTGTCAAACTGCAGCGCCTGGTGGCAAACGCGAACGATCGCATAATGGGGAACTCATTGGTAATTTTTACTCGACATACAGCTGCTCGACATATACAGCTACTAGACATTCGGCTACTCAACGTTCAGCTACTCAATATTCAGCTTCACAACATATAGCCGCACAGCATTCAGCTACTCACATATAGCCACACAAAATACTCTGTCATCTTGAGGCGTGAATTAAAAGAACCTTTGTGTCGAATAAACCTTCAGAATATACAAAATTCAGACTAGTATTCTGAATTTGTATAGATATTCATTCATAGTAGACACGAATATAGCATGACTATCGGTAGAACAGCCGAAGAAGTTTGCAATTATTTCTTTACCTGCTCTTTGCCTCACTGTTCTCCAACTGTAAGCATAGAAAAGATATTTCGGCACAAACAGCTTCCCAATCACCAACTCTACAATACCTCAAAAAGTTTTTTTCTCCGCAGGACTGCACATCACTGAGTACCTTCACCAGTTTTACCCCAAGTACCTGTACCTGTTTTAGTTCCGCGGATCCACATCCTCATTGTTTAAGCAAACCGGATCTTTAACAATAGAACAACATTGCAACTATGTATCGGAGACCTACATTTCTTCCGAGTGACTAATTACCACCCTGTAAGATCTCTTATTTCCACAGGACTACACCATCACTATGTACCTCAACCAGCAATGGACAGACGATCGACTGTCCTTCAGTTCAGACGACGAAGTTATCACCTTGCCGGGAGAATTCGCCGAGATGATCTGGGTGCCCGACACGTTCTTCGCCAACGACAAAAATAGGTATGCCTGAGGTGGAACGGTTCATCAAATATTCTTCAAGAGGAAATGGTTTACTAAGAGTGCAGGAATTTTGTTAGAAATTTAGCTGAAAACTGTTTGCCGGATTAAGGAAGCAGTCTGATTTACGCCGCTGAACTCAGTTTTTATTCCCCCATAAGTTGTTCAGCGATAAGGCCTAATTAAAGGGTGGGACCTAACAGTCACTAGTTTCTCCACATAAAATATATTGACATCTAATAGATTTCGATAACAGTCAACAGTCAATGAGTTACCGGGAGTTTAAATATCCAACGAATTATTCAAAGAGCAATGATGAACATGCTTTTAATGCAGTTAAATCGTCATTTGCTTGTTTTTTCAATCAAACAGTAACCTGAACTCCCACCAGCCTTAGTAATATTTTTTTCAGTTACCTGCACGACGTGACTGAAAAGAACAAGATGATTCGGTTGCGTGGCGACGGCACCATCACGTATGGCATGCGCTTCACCACGACACTCGCATGCATGATGGACCTTCATTATTTCCCTCTGGACATGCAGAAATGTTCCGTCGAGATATTGAGTTGTGAGTATCTTAGCACGATAATTGACCAGAAATGACCTCCACGTACACACAAAATCACGCCGTTAAAGAGACCTAAGTTTGAGAGTATTCTAGTAGTGAGGGAATGGCGGGCACGAGCACACTTGTCACGTCCTCCCATTTAAGCCCAATAATTATACTCATTAAGAAAGATTCTTTTAATTCTATTACAATAAAAAAATGAGTATGCATCATCACTGAAAAATTGAACGTGTTTTGCAGCTACTGAAATTATGTATTGCATATCAATATAAATGAATGATCGATACTTAAAAATAATACATATTGATAAAAGAAAGTTACCTAAGTTGAATAAAATTATAATCACTCTTTTGTCTTATAAGGTAGCGAGATCGGAAATTTGATTTGTCTTATCCATGCTTCAGAAGCAGCAAAATTACATGCTGGTGGAGCGTTGATCTGAGCCAATGCCGTTGCAACTGTTAATTAACAAACTGTTAATAACTGTTAACACAAGAAACCTGTTAATAACTGTTAAGAGAAGAAACCTGTTGATAACTGTTAACAGAAGAAAACTGTTAATAACTGTTAAGAGAAGAAATCTGTTAATAAACATTTAGCAAAACTAAAATGACATAACACAGCAATGGAATTTAGAACGGAGTCTAGTGTATGGTTACTATGGTAGGCTGCACCATATCTACCGCCAGCAGGGAAGTTGAATGCTTGCCGACGCCAATTCTTAAAACTATTTTAGCTTCTCTTGTCTTGAAACTTAATACTTGGCTCAAATAGATGATGTTTTTACAGATATTGTGATTTGTAGACATCTAGAATAGTTCAACACGTGCAAAGTCAGTGGGAAAACAGTTACTTAAGGTTTCCTACTTAAGATTGTGGCTCACGTAGTAAAAACTTATGAAGTAGGAAAAAGTCAACCGAGATGATCGATAAATTGGTTGACTGTGTGGTGCAGTTATGGGAGACTCTGTCTCTCGCACCCAGCGCCCAGGTTCGAGTCCCACTGAAGACAAGTTCTACCGGGAAGCTCAGCTCATGGTTAACTCAGCCATTCATTCAACTCTGGTTGATAAATGAGTACCTGGCTTGTCCAGGGTGTTGTGTAATGCAACCAAATGGTTCTGGCGGGTCAGCGAGCCAGTGATGGTCGTGGAACTACCAGTGGCACCGAATGCCCGGAAAAACTGACCTATCACCGCCCCCCTCCCTAGTCGCCACTACCAGGATGGGCTATAACAACAACAACACGTATAATCGTAGCCGAAATGCTCGCAACCGTAATTTACCCACAACTATTCTAAATCGATCGTTCATCGGAGGTTTCCTTTCACCTCATGCATTTACAGAACTGCGCCGTATAGGTGATTAAGCTCTGAATATCCTGATTCATCAGAACCGTTGAGATACGAGATCAAGTAAATACAAAACTTCACCATCGAGATCAGGATTAGAGTTTTGTGTTCCGGTGATAATCCTCACATTCCCGACTCTAGGATTATGTACTTTCGGCGAATTAAACTATCTTCCAGAGTAGTGACAGCAATAGGTATTTTACCATTAATTGGATGTTAATTCAGAGAAATTTTCTCTGGAGATTCTGACCTATAATCCTAATTTTGTATGAGTCTTATTGGGCCTTCGCTTTTCGCTTCAGCAATACTACTAAATGGAAGCCACCAGAATCTCAATACTGATTTATGTACCGAAGTTAAAATTTTTCCATAAATCATTTTTTAGCCTAAGCCAAAAATGGTAAAATTTTAAGATGAGCGAAATATAAGTAGAGTATTCTTAACCATGCTCACTGTTATTTAAAAACGCTCACGAAGCCCGTTTTCCCAATTTAGAAAACCAAATCATGAGAACCGTTAAAAACATTTTTAGAATAGCATTATAGCCTAAGTCAGTCCAATTCTACAGCTGATACAACTTAATATAAGAGCAAAAATTGTTTTAAGACCCTCAGGACTTTTAAGAGAAAATGTACTTATTTCGTTGCAGATGGCTACACCTTAGCAGATTTGGTCATGTACTGGCAGGATATAGCGGTTGTGGGCGTTGAACAAGCTGAACTACCGCAGTTTACCATCGTGGGGTACAACACCACGTCAAGTGTCGAAGAGCTCGCTACAGGCCGTTACGGTCGACTTACGATCACCTTCGAGCTGTCCAGAAACATCGGATATTTCATTTTCCAAACGTACCTGCCGAGTATCATAATCGTAAACTTATCATGGGTCTCCTTCTGGATCAACCATGAAGCTCCTGCTGCTAGAGTTACTTTAGGTGAGTCTGAATGAGGCTTATGTATATTGTGGCGAGTGAGACTAGGATTACATGCATCAGGTGGAGAGAGCTAACTTTGAATTTTATTTGAAGTTCGGATTGGTGTCCCATTCTTCGAACACCAACTCTATAATATCGTAGGAACAAAATCTAAAAGCAAAGCACTATTCTGATTTTTGATGCCGTTGCGTTACGTGAAACTGGTGTATAATTTATCGAATAATATAGAGAGATTTATTCGCCATTTAACGTCCTAACTTGGTTCAGGCATCACGACCGTACTCACCATGACGACCATCAGTACGGGTGTACGGGCTTCCTTACCTAGCATTTCTTACCTGAAGGCCATCGACATTTACCTCGTCATGTGCTTCGTCTTCGTCTTTGCTGCTCTGCTAGAATATGCTGCAGTTAACTTCTTATTCTGGAGTCAAAAGTGAGAGATATACAAACTTGGCACATAATAATTATTGAGGTCAATGTGATGATAAAAATGATTTTCTCGATGTTTAAGTATTGGCACGTAAGATTCAAAATTGATAAATTCTAAAAATTTTCAATTAACGCGCCGACACTCATCTACTGACAATCTTATCTTCTGCCTTTGGGGCTCAGAATCTCATCGTACTAATGGTAACATCAAATGCTATATGGGAAAGTATCGCGAGCTAAGCAACATAGTGCTAGTAGCCGTAGATGAATTTAGATTATTAATCTTCATTTAATCGAGTAAACTTATTTATTACATGTTAGGACAAAGAAGCCCAAAAAGGTTAAGCCAGCCAAACAACCTAAGCCTGCTCCACCACTACATCCGCCTGGCAAGATGGACGGCGTCGCTAACCAACCTGACGAGATCATCGAACTACAGGATGCCACGAGTCCGATTCCTTCGATCAGGTACTAAATTAGTAACTAAAAATTTTCACGTGAATTTATTAAGGAGTGGAATATCATGATGGATCTCAGTGCACTCCAAAACCTTGTTGCAGTGAGTGCCCCACTCCATCTCCCGACATATTTCGACGATGCTACACTCTAGAAATGGAAATAATGGGAACGTTGAGTGGGATGTCGTTAAACTCAAGTTATTGGTTACAAAGAAAGCTAAAGATTTGCTGTAAAGTGAGATAGTATTAGATAATACAATTTTGAATTAGTAATCATTGATCATGATTAAATATGCGGTTTAATCAATAGAATAATTTGTATCTCATGGGGTCCATCCCGGTAAAGCAGTTTCTTAAGCAGCATGTCATGCACAGATTCTGAATAAAACGCATATTTTCCAACAGACATCGGCACAACTCGAAGCTTTCAAGTCGAGAAAGCAATTCTCAAGACCTGAAGTCTCCACCATCCTTCCGGACCAACAGGAACTACATGTCGTCGCGTAGCCTGTCAAGCACCAACAAGCAGCTGTCACGCAAGAAACTAATTGCCAGTATCCGCAAAGAAGCTGCAAAGGCCAAAGCTAGCATCCCTAAATTAACAGATGTCACTGTCATCGACCATTACTCACGTGTCATTTTCCCCGTCGCTTTCATGATTTTCAACATAGGATATTGGGGCTTTTATTACGCATAAGTCTGATCTTGAGGATCAGTCTTATAGAAATCGTTGTCTTCCAGCCCCAAAATATATTCCTGCAAAACGCTTATATGACTAACGAATAATAACCTAGCTACCAGTCTAGTCACCTCTGTTATCAATGAAATTTCAACTCTATTATCAATTTACCAATCGAAACTTTCATCGATTCCAAATATCATGAGGAAATGAGTATGACGTCATGAATTGCTCTGATATGCCTAGTCTCATCACAGATGGATTATATTCTTATCAGTATCATTTCTAAAACGGTAATTTGCCTTCCTAATAGATAGATAAATTAGTCCGTTCAATCATAGAGAAAAAATATATTTTGAATAGCATTGACATCATTCTAAGAAGAATAAATAGGTATAACTCAAATACTTCCTACCATTGAACTCTAAAAACCGATTTCGTACTTATTCACGAATTTAGTTAATTTCTCCATAAGCTTTTATTTTTCCACGGTTCATAAATTTGTTTATTGTAAATAATGTACAGAAACTTCGGTTGTTAATTGTTTGACCACATTTAAAATCTACCTAAGTTACATAGGTGAATAACTTAGAGGTCATTAGCTTAAATTTACTGCTTCGAAAAATTGAGCCTACAGATTAAGTCCCTTTAATTGACTGTTTTGATCATTCGTTGATATTTGATTCGATCGAAAAAGCGTGCAAGATACCGTATTTAGGCTCATTTCTGAATAAAATTAACACCCTGGATATCTCTCGAAAATTAAGTAATTTTGTGTTTTTTTTCCGCTTGATTTTTCCTATTTTCCGAATTTTGACAGTTGGTCGCGTAAAATTTTATAATAAGTGAAGTCTCACAAAATTGTACTGGGTGTTGAAGTTATGTTGATTCTGTGAATGGAATGCTCGGTTGAACCTGCGGTAATATTCGTTTCACTTCCGAAAATGTAAAATGTTCTCGAAATCAAAATTTAAAAGTTGAATAAATCGGGCCAAAGTTTAGTCTTTCCATCATAACAGTTCATGACCCTTTAATGACTATTATATAATAAATACAAGCTAATTTATCTTACAGAAGTGATACCACTGGAAATAAGAGCTTCTAAGATGAATTCATTAATTTATAATTCAAATATTCAATACTCTTGTCTTTTTAGTTACAACAGTGTTATATTTATGACCTCATTGACCGTGTCTGTGTTCGCAGTGCCTTTCGGTGTCAAATATAGTATGTGATTTTGTAGAGATGTGTTGTGTCTCATTATTTACCACTAATTAAAATATTTGGTTCACGCTCGAGAACCAATCAAACAACTAAAAGATTTTCTTTCCAACTAGTCCATTAGTCTTATTTTCCACGCTTGTCGTGCTACCGTGTCACGGTTGCAAGCCTACAATGTTTTTCGCGTGAAGATCTAAATATTTTGTTGGCTACGTTACTTTAGTTTCCATAATTTCCTGGGACCAAGTTTGTATGGACAATGTTTTTCGATGCGAGCAAAATGAACATTGAGGAGAGACAGACAATATATCTAGAATATACAAAGCATATTGGACGCTTTCCATACAGCATATTGGTCGTTTCATATAAACGTTTTTCATAAAAAATTGTTTTTCGTCAAACCGGGTACAAATATGTTTTACCATCGATACAAGCAATCGATTTCGATTAGCAGTTTAGATGAAATATTAATGTGCCAGCTGAGGCATATACATGTATATGTCTTCTGATGCAGACATTCTTTTGCAAAGGATTTACAGTCAAGAAGGACTGGCTTACCAAACTTGATGCAATTTAAACTCAGTACGATTGAAATCCATGTCGACTTAAATAAACTTATTCAATTGCACATAATTACAGCTTCTGAAATATTCCATCAATTTATTTTCTTTTCCCATCTTTCATCAAAATTATGATTTGGAAACTTTTCACAGATTTTTTCTTTGTGCAACAACTACACGTAATTTTTGTCGATGATTGAAATAATACTTTATTTTTTATCTTAATACCGAACAAATGCACCGGTTTAAACAAAAACTTGAACCATGTTTACGTCAGTCTTGCTCAAGACGCTTACGGTGAACCGATCTCTCAAAACTCCGTTTCAACCATGATTAATTTTACCACTATGAAAAGAGACTGGTATTAACCACTATGAAAAAAGACTGGTACTAACCACTATGAAAAGAGACTGGTATTAACCACTATGAAAAAAGACTGGTATTTACCTCTATGAAAAGTGACTGGTATTAACCACTATGAAAAGAGAATGGTACTTACCAGTTACCACTATAAAAAGAGACTGGTATTAACCACTATGAAAAGAGACTGGTACTTACCACTATGAAAAGAGACTGGTACTTACCACTATGAAAAAAGACTGGTATTAACCACTATGAAAAGAGACTGATATTAACCATTATGAAAAGAGACTAGTATTAACCACTATGAAAAGAGACTGATATTAACCATTATGAAAAGAGACTGGTATTAACCACTATGAAAAGAGACTGGTACTAACCACTATGAAAAGAGACTGATACTAACCACTATGAAAAGAGACGTATTAACAAATTTAAGGATCTTAACGGAAGTCAATATCAGTCGAATTGAAAATAGTAACGAAGAGTATTATTGATGTTTATTTTATTCACGTGTAATGCAAGCTTTACAAAATTAATCCAAATAAACTATAATGTTGTCTCTAGCCATCGTATATTCGCTAATTGAATAGATAATCTATATAATAGATAATCACTCAAATAGATTATCAATGGATTTGAAATTATTCGCTTGAAATTATATTCAAATAATATCTTCATTCATTTTGTACATTTTATTTACAACCATTTTTTTATGAAAATGATGAATTATGTTCGATCATCTCAGATGAATTTTCAAATTCAAGTAATTTCCATTTCAGAATCAAACTTCCCTCTTTATTCACAGTAGACCAAGTGGCGTCCTCTGTTGCCAAGGCAAGCAAGCGCCCTCAGTTTGGCTGAGTCTGTCAGAGAGGAAGGGTGTGCGTGTGGGCACTCGGCTCTCGTCAAATATAAATCTACGCTGTCATGTGGCTGATATTGTTTAATTTAACTTTACTAATTTCTTTTGTTCGTGATGTGTGAGTTCTCTATTATATTTTGATTATTTAGGTACAAAATAAAACTCGAGAGTTGATATATTTAGGAATATATAAATGGTTGGATAATTGTATATAATAATCGTCAAAAATGAAGGCAGTTTTTCCTAGTGACGCAAAAAAGTCAATTAATATCCACGTCACGGTGAAGGCAACGAAAAATAAAATTGGCTTAAGTTTTGGCAGACGTTTAGCAGCAGCTGCAAGGCTCGCTGCTGCTAAATCTGTGCAGGAGGTCACTCGTAACTCGTTCCCAGCATTTATGTGATCGAGTACCTTTAAACTAAAAACTTTAAAGGGCCTTCTACGGCTGAGGTGTACCATCATTTACCCGGCACTTGCCTCGAAATAACGCTACATATTAGACGTTAATAAGCAGTATTGTTTTAATTTAATTTTACTTGCTGCTTGAAATAAACGTATCAGTAGGCTTAATGTAAATTTAATTGGATCAAAGCACGTGGTAAACGCATGGCAGCAGTCATAACTCGTTGCCAAACGAAAATAACCGATTAAAAATGGGTCATGATCCCCCGAAAGTATCTGCGAAGAAAATAGGAACAGAAAAAAAACGATCTTCTGTTCCTAGTAATTGTAACATTGATGATCATGACGAAAAGATGAAAATACGAAATTTGTATCAATGGTTTGAACTAGAAAAATGAAAAAAAATTTGGCAAATTTATCAGATATTTTTTCTGCCGTAATTGTGCAGCCAGATTAGGCGAATAATTAACGATCAGTCAAGCCTTCATCAAAGCTTCATTTCCACACTTACTTCGAATCTCCATCACAAACTTACCTCTGGATGATGTTCTTTCCTAGATAGATTTTTAGTCTGAATTGTGAAAGATTGAAGTTGATCCGTAGCTTATGGATCATACTAGCTTCAATAAAAAGATTATGATTTTAATTCATATTGAGAATAATAATAATTGTTGCAGGGTCGCCGGCCGCACCAGCGAGCACCTGTTCAATGTGTCACAAACCATCAGTGGGCTGCTCGACGGCTATGACATCAGACTGCGTCCTAACTTTGGCGGTGAGCGTTATTAAATTCGTTTTAATTATCGTCAGACTTGATTACTCCTTAAAATTAATACTTCGAGTACAAGCAGAAGTGTTCCATTAATGGGAAAATAGTCTTTTATTGCATCTTTCAACTGGTATCTCCTCTCGTAAGTTGTTACTAGAAATGCATGAAACTATTTTGTACAGCATGGTTAAGTAAGGCGAGGGATCCCCAGCGTGCTACATAAGTGAAAATATTATACCCAATCCAAAATTGCGCGTTTCCTAAGGATAGAACACTTTGTGTAAACTAATATCAAGGAGAAAATAATCAAATTTGTACTAAACCTAATAACGGGTAACCCTTGTAGATGAACTGCAGGAACGGTAAATTCACTGACTTCAATATTAACGATTGTACTTTATAAGGTCCTTGGCAAATTTTGTTGAGAACTTATCTGATATTTTCACTGGCTCGTGCACATTATTTAGTTTACACAATTTAATTAAACTTTTAAATTTAAATCTTAGTCGTATTAGAATTTGCTCCATAGTCTATTTAAGGACTAATTTAGGTCATAGAAACTCGTTTTGATTAAAAAAACACCCAAATAAGGTAAGAACAAATAACTCAGAGAAGGACATTGAAAACAAAAGAATTTAGTGAATCTCAAGCATATCGAAATGATTTTTGTATCTACCACTATTATTTGAATATTCACTTACCGAGGTAGTGACTTAAAATTAATTTCGAGATTATGGAATGAATGCTTGTGATCAATATAAATTCATTGAATATATATCATTCGCGTAAACACAATTATTATAGAGAAGTATTTTGACATTCCCTTACAGAGGCATTAAATTAAAATTTGTTAAGAGTTTGAGTACAAATCGCCATTATTCTTCAGGAGAGCCTTGCTACATTGGGATGGACATCACCATCGCGTCTTTTGACTCCATCTCTGAGGTCAACATGGTGGGTACATAGCTTTTCTTTTGAAAATATAACTTGGGCGCTCGTGCATAAAGATAATCCAATTCTTCATACACGATTTTGCCAGACAATCATCTTATCTATTCCAATGGCATTCGTTTTGAGTTTTAAACTCTAATTTTACTGGAAATTCTCGCATCCCGACGAGAAAACCTTCGAGACGAATCGTCCGCAAACTGCGGTTATGCGACTTGAATTTGTCGTTGACGGCCTAGTTCGACCTACTTGCGAAGGTGCCTGCGCCGAACGGCTTGGGTCACGGCAAGAATTTCGAACTGGGATAGGGAAAAAATTCCTTATTTCGCACTACTATGCTGTGACTGTATTTCTGAAAAATCGTTGACTTTCACAGGACTACACCATCACTATGTACCTCAACCAGTACTGGAAAGACGAGCGACTGTCCTTCAGTTCAGATGATGAGTTTATCTCCTTGCCGGGAGACTTCGCCGAAATGATTTGGGTGCCTGACACATTTTTCGCCAACGACAAGAGCAGGTATGCCTGAGGATGACTAACCCATTTGATCCTTGCTGATTTGAATTAAATTGCGCAATTTACTTCGATATTTTTTCTCGATACGTTTGTGTTACTGTTGCAAACAATTGCTTCGGATATAAGCTTGTTCTCTGCTCAAAGCTAGTACACTGTCTTCAAGGTGTACCAAAATGACAATAAATCAAAAATGAAGGAATCAGAAAAAAGAAAATTGTAATATTGATCTGGTCTGCAAATTTACGAGTTTTTAATATTCGAGTGCAATTTTGATAATTGTTTCCCACGTATTTTGAACGAAAACTATAATTATTTTTTAGGTTTTCGTACTCTGGAAATTGCTTGAATAAACTGAATTACTCGTATTTTATGAAATATTGTATAAGGATTGAATGTGAATGAGAGCCAGTTGAGCAGTAACTTAGTTAACTTAAAATCTAATTAGATAGAGACGTAGAAAATTATAAATCGCGAAATAAATAATATACATAAATGGTGCAAATTAATTAAAGGCGAGGAATTCGCAAAAAAAAATACTTCAATAGTTCTGGCCTATAGTGTGAGGTTAGAAATTTTGAGAAATGACTAGCGTCGTAAGCTAGAAGCGCTCAAAGTGTTCTGGAAGTAGTTGTGACAATTCAAAAATGTAGCAGTAACTGTACCAGTTACAATTAAAAAAATAACGTTGATATTCGACGATGCTATCATTTAATTTACAGAAAGTTATATTGAAATATATGTGCCCTGGCGATACTTTTCAGTTACCTGCACGACGTGACTGAGAAGAACAAGATGATTCGGTTGTACGGCGACGGCTCCATCACGTATGGCATGCGCTTCACCACGACACTGGCATGCATGATGGACCTTCACTACTACCCTCTGGACATGCAAAACTGCACCGTCGAGATAGAGAGTTGTAGGTATCCTCCTAAGATAAGTTGCGAGTATCCTACTCACCAGTACTTAGTTCGAAATTCACTTCGTTTGGCTCATAACAACACTACGGAAGGAATATTTAGGATCGGTGTGTAAAGGTTCAGAAACTAAAAAATCGTTCATAAAGCTATTCATTCCGTCACCATCTTGGATAGAAACACAACTCAACAATACACATGCTGCCGACATTACCATAAATACCTACTTTTATTCGTAAGTTTTGACTAATTCTTGGTCCGTGCTTCGAGGTTTGAACTTGAGTTTCCTTTAAGAAACAGAAAATAACAATAGTTAAATTCTCAACAAATAGTATATTAAACATAATAGACATAACCAAAAACTTGAAATCTTATATTCGCCAATTTTTATTTTACGAATTCACATCACAAACATTCTGACGTAGCACATGCCTCCACTCCGGGTTTCCACCGCACAAGCACATTAAAATTTCAACATTTGCCTCCCGCACTCTTTCTTGGCAAACTCTGAACTGAAATGATAATTGATAATTTTGAATAATAAATAAGTTCTAAACAAATAGTACGCTTCATTTTGTTAGTTATTATGCATTGTACAACATAATATATATTTATTTTGTGGTATGACCTTACAAATCGTATTTCAGACCAATATTGTACGGTTTTTTATGATGAGTGGCAACTCAAATGTAGTATCTGTTGAAAGGCAACTCGCAAGTCATTCGAGGCTAAACTGTATCTTCTGAAAAAAATCATCAAATTAACCTGCGTATCAGGAGGAAAATTATGCAGAAAATTGCGCGTCATCATTTATTACTAGCAGATGCTCTTGAAACTGTTTTAGAAATTTCAATACAAATGCTGGCCACATGCATGAACAATGCAAATCAAAAGTAAGGGAAACCAGTTAGTATAATCCACTTTGTCACCTGATTCTACTTGATCTAAGACCTGATAGTACTTGACTTGATAATATTTGAAAGGCCATAGAACTTTTCATATGACAACTGCATGCATGATTATGCAGATGGTTACACTTTGGCGGACGTCGTGATGTACTGGAGAGACATCCCCGTGGTGGGAGTGGAGAAGGCTGAACTAAATCAGTTCACCATCGTAGGATACGACTGTACATACCGCACGGAAGAGCTCGCTACTGGCGTCTATCGTCGCCTCACCATCACTTTCGAGCTGTCCAGGAACCTTGGCTATTTTATCCTACAAACTTACTTGCCCAGTATCCTGATCGTGAATTTGTCATGGGTCTCTTTCTGGATCAACCACCAAGCCATTTCGGCTAGAAGTGCCCTTGGTGAGGACGAGGAACGGAAGTAAAGTTTAGTAAGGAGTTCGACCTTGACTTGTATTCTGTGATAAAGTTAGCCGTGTTTGCATTAGACGTTGAATTTCTTTTGCAGAGAATGCTTTTATTTTAAATTCAAATATCTAAAAAAATCGATTAAAAATTCATATTTGATGCGTGCCATCAAATTTGCCGTTTGACTGCTTTGATGAATTCATTTCAATGAAACTCATTTATCCACGTCCTAACTTGGTTCAGGCATCACGACCGTACTCACCATGACGACCATCAGTACGGGTGTACGGGCTTCCTTACCTCGCATCTCTTACGTGAAGGCCATCGACATTTACCTCGTCATGTGCTTTGTCTTCGTCTTTGCGGCTTTGATGGAATATGCTGCCGTCAACTACAACTTCTGGCGTCAAGAGTAAGGAAAATTAAACGAAAGTGGAGCATTTACTGCAGTTGTACAATATCATTCAATTCATAAGTGGTTCATCAATCAAATCATATAAACCGATTGAAGTTTAGGACACACAAGAGCCCGCTTTTTAGTTTGAACAGTGTAAATGTTTTTTTTCTTTTCCACTTGTAACGAGGGACATGGTCTATTGGTTACGCAAGATGGTTAAGCCATGCACCTTTTCTCTAAACTATTAATTGTTCTCGGAATCTAATGCCTTGTAAGCTAATAAATAAATCCTATAAATCTGTCGTGATACAGGTCTTGAATTGACATGATTTTCGCACGTTGATCGAAATATTTATCTCGTGCCAGGGCAAGAAAGCAGAAGAAGGAAAAACCCGCCCCTCCACCCAAGCCTCCTCTTGCCCTGCCTCCGACGGACAAAGCCGACGGCGTCGCCAACCTGTCCGAGGACATTCGCAAAAGCCCGATTGCTTCTCTTAGGTATTTAATTGCTTACTTCCTTATTTCCAAAAATTGGGAAAGATCTAACTGAAACACTGTTACTTACGGTTTATTGTGGTTTGGTTTTCTCACTGTAGCTGCACTGTTGTTGAAAATAAATTTGTGCACTGTGTTTTTTTTCCGCTGCACGGAAAAAATTGAGGTTTGTTTGCACGCACACTGAAGAGACGTTAAGCGACCGAGCGCGCGATAGGCTGGTAGCTGATTAGATTATATTTGTGTCGGTAAAAAAGTGGCTAAGCTCTCTGGATATACTTCCTGACCATCTTCGAAATCCCCGGTATTCCGGCTTGCCAGGCGATCATTTCTATAAAAAAATTTTCGCAAACATAAAATGGATTTTCTAGGTCGTCTCTAACATCACTACGTTAAAAATAAAAGAAGAATTAAATGAAAGAGTGAACCCTTAAAAATATGCAGTTTCTTCTTTCTAGTAATTCCCAGCCATGAGTGGCTTAGCACCCTAAGAATTGAACCACCAATTCTCCTGTTGAATTAAACTGAGCCTTAGTAATAAAATGGACATAAATGGGATTGTTCACGACGGTACTTCACTTCCACATTCATTAGCTGTCTCGGTTCAGATGTGGCTTTCCAAATCAGAAATATCTTCTTTCAGTATCGATCCATTTTAAAATATTGATAAAAAGATTCTTTAAATCAGTAAGATTATTTTAGATCACAAATTCAACTTGCAATAAAAACATTGAACTAGACGGTTGAGAGAACAGCTACTGTATATCATCAATTCAAAGTTTGAGACTGAGAAGATTACCAACTCGTGCCATAAAAATTTTACAGTATCAGTAACAACAAATTAGATAATTATAAATTAAGCACCAAGGTCAGGTAAAAAGTTATATATATTAACATTTTTCGTATGACTAACATTTTTTCATTAACATGTAGACTATGGGAGTAGGTTAAAACAAATTTTCGTTACAAATGTACGCTGATTCTCTCTTCGTAAATTAAAAAGAGATATATTTAAAGTAAAAAGAAAACAAACCTTGTTTCAACAACACCTTTTTTAATAACCAATTAACATTTTTCGTCTTCTTTTCAGGTTAACGTGATACTCAATTGTTTATTAAGTTGTAATATTTACTTTGAAATTACATTCATTCGATCTGGCAATAATTAAATTCTCGAATCTTGAACAGACGAAAAAGCTATTCCCAGGAAATTTTCGTTCAATTTTAATTGCGTTTAAATTAAATCTTGTGGAAGCATACAACCATTTCTCGAACTGCAAAAGAATTTTATATGTCTTTTGTTGATGGCATGTCTGTCCAACAGACAAAGACACGCCTCGAAGTTTTTCAGCCGTGAGGGTAATCTACAGGACTTCAAGTTTCCTACATCGTTCAGAATCAACAGGGACAAGACGTCACCACCTCCTGACAACTCTAATAATGAGTCATCTGGTGTAGGCCTCATTGCCGCCATCCGCAAAGCAAACTCTATAATCAAAGCAAGTGTTCAAGAAGACGTCAACGTCATCGATAAGTGGTCACGTCTCTGCTTCCCTGTCACATTTTTGATTTTCAACATAGGATATTGGGGCTTTTACTATGCGTAAAGCATAGTCGTGGTCGCGTAAGACTTAATACTAAAAGAATAATATGAGTCACATTCACATATCCAAAATGTGACACTCTTCCTTACCCAAAACACGCGCAGAGTGCGAACGTAGCAATGATACACCCTGTTGTCTGGGCAATTTGGTCAGGAAAACTCACGCAAAGTCCAAAAATTCATCTCTATTTGGACCCAATTTTACTTAGTTCTCTAAGTGCAAGTGTTGAGGTGGATTCGAAGGTTTAAAAGATGTCGACCTGTATTATTGGTAAACGATGCACTACCAGTCTAGTATTCAGATAATATCTGAAAATTGATTTATTTGTAAAAGAGACAATGATTTCACAAAAAAATGTGTTTTCGTAATGACGACTCCTCTTGGCGATTTTAGTCTTCCAAAAAGTCCATTTCACACAGAATAATAAGCATTCATTAGTATTCATATAAATGCACTCGAAACTGTATAATTATTTTACGTATATGAGTGAATATACATATTGTGGTTCCTAATTTCTCATTGTACAGTGTGTACAGAATGAGTGTACGCAGTACAAGATATTGTGCTCGAATCATCTTTTTTTACATGAGGATTACTATATCCAGGTAGTAATTTGTGAATGGCTCTTAACGTCGCAAGCATGCACGCAAGGTTAGGGCTTTCCAACAACTTGAAAATCCTCGTTGTCATTCTGTCATTGTACCTTTCTGTTGTGACAATATTTGGGGCATGCAATACAAAAATAGGATGCGGGAAGGAGAAAAAAGAATTTTCAATGAATATTTCCTTGAAATTCGACGCGTTAAGGCAAAAATTCTTAGCGATACCAAGTACTGAGAGAATCACATTTTGTTTGTAATATGCTTAAGATTTTATATTTTCGTTTTTTATGTACTTCTGAGTTTCTTCTTGGATTGATATTTTGCTGCCTCCAGAAAAAGTATCGTACGGTAATTAGCATAAATTCTGAGCAAAAGTGATTGCAGTAAATCCAGGCTGTTGTTCTTCTCACAGAATTTGGTATTAGTTTTAGAAAGTCGTTTCTCGGATGTTTTTTAATTCATATTGGCCAACAATGAAATAATTGCCACTTGGAGAAATTATTAGATTAAAATTTGGAACACTAAAATTTGATAGTTTGAAAGTAAAATATTTAGTGGTAAGGGCTCACGTGTGAATTTGCTGCACCCAATACCAATCCCTTAAAAAAATTTAATTTCTGTTCCTATCCCCTTCTTCTATTCATGTAGAGTTTATAAAAATTGTGTGGTAATTTTGTTTCGTTTCAACTTTAATATTTTCGCACAATATTGGGCAGTTGTAATCTTAGACCGTTTATTTTTATACTTGGCTTGCTACTATTGTCAGAATAAATTAAAACAACTCATATCTGTATAATTAGTGTGAACAAATAATAATTGCATCATAAACTGAGGATTTATGTTGTTTTGGAATAGCTCATCTTGTGTAAAATTTTCGTCCGATTTCCGCGCTTAAATTTCTTGATTTTAATAATAGTTATTAGGATATTTTCAATTATTTAAAACAAAATAATATCGAAAATTCACATCGATTTGGACCTTTCGCTATGGGTTAAATGAGCGAAAAATTTCTATTTTACTGATAAAAGCTGATACTAATTGAAAATATTATTTGCAAATAATTTCATTTTTGAGTTCAGATCTTGAACGCTTCCCAAATAGAAACCTTCGAACGTCGTACCTCCAGACCATGTTTTTGAAAGAAAAAGTATTATGCTAAAATGCGCTGATATCTGTTAACTTTGTCGAGCCGTAACTTGAGTATAATCACTATTGTAATTCATGCTATCTAATTAATAATGGTCGATCTAACTGAGAATTTAGAGCCTCGGTGTATTCTACTATTTTCGTCGATAGAATTGGGAACTCCTCAGATGAAGCTATTTTGTACTTCAAAAATTGATATTTTGAACATATCAACTTAATTTGTGTAATTCCATCAACTTTGTAGTGCTGTCGGTGCCTTTTGCTGTCATAAAAAAATGAATTTCTCGATATTTCCTGTGGCCCCATCAATACCGACTTTACGTGAACCGTATTTACATTAGAGATTAACAGTTAGAGTCAAAAGTCGATAGTCTTTATTAAGAGTCAAATCACTTCACTTGGTGATGTCATAATTATGCTAACGAAACTTAACTAAAAAATTTATACATATGCTTAAAAATAAATATACTTTGGTATAAAGTAAATACATTGAAAATTTACATCGTAAATTTATACTTTAGCATAAATTTTTGGAGCCGAAAAAAATTGGCACACAAGTGACTAATCTCAAAGCTCTAAAAATGTAATGTAAGCGCTCCATTTACCCAATTCGTGATACCAATTCATTAAGTTCTCTAGGAGGATAGACTCACGATTGACGAGTTAAAGTTCTGGGTGTGTTTTTGTTTCGGAAAATAGAATATTATTATGAGTTTAGAGATTATTTTGAACATTAGTCTTGCTAGAAAATAAATTTCAGACTTGAACTATAACCGACTGAAAAATAAAAACTCAGAGGCATGAAAGAATATATTACCTGGAATCAGAATAGCAGACAATTAAAAAATCTCATTTCATGATTTTTCATGGCAGACAATTTAAAACTGATTGCAATAGAATAACAAAATAACCTGGGAAAGAACTGTAGGATCTAGTTGAAATATAGTTAAGATGAAATAATGAATCACCACTGCCTTACAGAAGAAAAAAATATAACTCAGTACTCACTGCAGTGAGTGACAGAGAGCGCATTTTCTCGTCGACGAAAACGTGAAGTCACGGACGGACGGACAGACAGACAGACGGACGGACGGATATGGCGAGCAAAATAGTGCATTTTTCCATAAATGAGAAAATGCGCTAAAAAGCGAGTTTCTCAGAATAAAATTAGACGAAACGATGCAGGGGGAAAATACGTGATCAAGAAGTAGCGAACGAATAAATGGCAATTAATAAAAGCATAAGTTATTTAATGTTATCGAATTAAAAATGAGGATTAAATAGCCGCCTTCATTTTGCTCGCGTCTCACCTAGATGCATCCTTTACCACAACATGCACCCCCTAACAAAATCTAGATGCGTGCACAACTCTGCATTAGGGCCGCCTAGAACTCAAGGAGCGCGTAAATCAGCCGCTCTTTGTCCGCTTAAGCTCAGGGTTTGAAACCCAGCTTCTGAATAGATTGCAAGCTCGGTATGATTTGGCTCTGTCAACGCTTGTCAAACTCTCTGTCGGATATAAAGTTAGAGAGCAGATTATGGCCAGAAACTGATATCGGTTTCGGTGGTCAGCAGACCCAGAAAAACTTCACGCGGCCCTAAGGCCTGCATTCATTAGTATCGAGTTAAACAAACAAAAAAATTAAAATAACAATTTCTAAACGGTATACAATTGTAGGAATTGTCACTTATTTATAACGCATGTGATGGTTTATACTATTTAATTTTGCAAAAAAAAAGATTTATAAATGAATACAAAAATGATATAAAAACATGAGACGCTGGTTCCTATTACCGCACATTTCAAGATTTCAGCTATATAATAACAATTTTAGCCCACTCATCGGCTAATGATGCTGTGTATATAAAATATAATCTTTTGCACACGTTCAAGTCTCGTTCAAATCGCGCCAATACAACAGAAATAACTGCATCCATTATTGAAATTACAATTAAGATATTAAGCTATTCCAGTCTTAAATTCAAACGGCCATTCATGCTCCTGCCAACATACATAGAATTAGTAATTTTCAAATTGAACGCAAATTTGCAAATGAAATGTTAATTAAGCTGCAGGCTAAGCAAGAACATGTACATAGAGAGTGCACGTTGACATGATAAAATTTCGTCAAGTATTACGGTATTCCAATTAAGTGGTTCATCCTGAAGAGTCAAATGCAGATATGAGTCTTGAACGAAGGTTGAATACAAACTGTACTACTCCAGAATATTTTTAACCTTGAAATATGTTAATGCGGCACAAAGAAGGCACAAAGTAAGAAAAATATAACTCAGTACTCACTGCAGTGAGTGACAGAGAGCGCATTTTCTCGTCGACGAAAACGTGAAGTCACGGACGGACAGACAAGCGCAATGACACGGACATGACAAGCGCAATAGTGCATTTTTTCCATAAATGAGAAAATGCGCTAAAAAGGCACAAACCATAAAGTAGATATCTTATATCCACAAATTTTAGCAGAAACAGTGTAGTAGGTCGACGGTATTGACATCCATCGTGCAATTGCTGTGATGATGACACGCATTTCTCCAGAATGGGCGCTTTTTTCCAGCAATAGAATTTTTGGCCTCGCGGTCAAGCATAAGTGATGAAAGTGAGGTTATATTTTTGGTTTAGCCGATAATATTTTTGTCATGTCCCGGTCTTTCTTGGATCTTGGATTATTTATTATCGTTAACTTTTGAAAGTATTTTTAAATTTTGTGATGTTGCCGTTTTATTTGAGGACTTTTACATTGCATTTGAAAAAACGCATTTGTTGCGTTTTTTCTGCCTGAATTAAAACAGCCTAAATTTTTACATGCAAGGTTCATACAATTGAATCACTATAACTCAACTTTTGAATGAATAATACGTCTGATAGCTTAATAGTCCATGAAGGTCGCACCTCAACACCTTAATAGTCGCACCTCAACAGACCATTCAAACCACCCGATTAGAATCATCATAAATAAAAAGTTATTCATATTGCTTGTAATTTATTTCACTTCAAAGAAGCAAAACTAAAGGGAGACATGAATTTTCAAGTAATTAATAATAAATTGCAAAAATACCTATAACCTCATGGAATGATTGTGGCAAACGCATCAAATTACTAAGTGCTGCATACATTTAGAATTATCGTGAATTATGACCATACATATATTAAATATTTTTTCAATATAAGAAATTTACAATTAATTAAAATGACTGAGACAGCACCTCATTACACAAGCCTATGATTACGATCGGTTTCATACGAATTCTTGATTTTGAGTCTAAAAATGTTGTAGTGCAAATTAAAAATATAATTAAATACTGGTAGCAAAGTGCGTAGATTTTTCAATACCTCCGTACGTATACAAATCATAATAAGTCGTAAGGAAATTTCAAAATAAGATGCGAGCTGAACCAGACCTCATCGGAACGAAGTTTAAAAAGACAGCACTGTACTGAACAACTTAAATATCTTTAAAGTATTATTGAAAAGCCTATTAAGAGCAGGAAAATAATCAGGAATCGCTCTTGAGCTCAGCTGGAAGCCCTTACTGGATTTCGGAACCCTTAATATCTTCCAAGAAATTTCAAGGTAAAAGAAGATTTCTTGACGTTAAGTAAAGTTTGCAAAGTACCAATCATTTGACCTAAAACTGTTGAACAAGCTAAAATTTACAAGAGAATTTTTAATATGCATTCTATTTCTACGTGAGATTATGAGTAAAATGTTTATTTATTTCCCCCGTAAGCAAGTGGCGTCCTCTGCATGCAGCAGATGGGAAACCAAGTCGATACCCTCAGTTTGGCCGAGGCCGTCAGTGAGGGAGGGTTAATGTGGACGTCGCTCCCGGCGACAAGAAATCGGTGCAGCCATGTGGCTGATGTTTTCTATATTAACATTAATGACCCTAACTGTCCGTCATGGGTAAGTAGTAGATTAAATTTTACTTATTTTGTTTGAAAATGAAATTATCAAGTCAAGAAGGAAAACATAATTACACCGAGAACCATTAAAAGTCCTGGAAATTAAATAATATATATATTTAGGTATAACCTGGTTCCGTTGCCGTACATGGATGGCAGCGAATGTAAAAGTTGTGGTGTGTAAACCAACGATTTTCGATTCCAGCATTTATTTATATTCCTCTACAATTTCTACACGGCATATGACACGGAAGTCGTCCCCAGATGCTGCTGCACAGCTGTTGTTATATCTACAGCAGCAATAACTGCTGATTCAATAACAGCTTTGCTGCAAATATGCTTCATAACCTCCCACAGCAGTAGCGACCGTTATAGATTACGTCACAGTTTCTGAATATGGAGCTCTCACTGACCTATTTAATTTAAGTATGGAATGAAAGAATTTTAAAATACGTATATTGGACATTACGGCACGGTCTCTATATGCTGCATCTTATATTTAATCGGCATGTTAGAACGTGTGAAGCTCGCAAAACTTTAAGAACAACATCAGTTTAAGGGAAAATTGTCGACTTTCGTGTTTCCCTTTTTTTAATCTAGCATCACATTATCTTCATGAGCTTAAGTAATATTAGAAGCTTTTCAAGATTAAGCAATATTTCGTTGGGTTATTCGGTTGGAAATCTTTAGAAAAAAAAGAATCTATTACATTTTCTTAATTATTAGTTATTACAGCATTCTTGCTGTTGACACGAGCACAGAACTATCGACCAGCGAGGCTTCTTAAAGTTGTGACGGCGAGATCGCGGCTCCTATCGCTAAATTTTTTATTTTTAACCTTGTTCTTGATGGCATTTCCCTGTCTATATATACAAGTTTGGAATGAACTTTGGTACATAGCATGTAGGCATGAAACTACACTGGAAGCTTAATTTACAGCCTAATTTACATAGGGATACGAGTAATAATTATGTTGCAGGCACGCAACCCGCAACAGTGAACATCTGTACAACATTTCACAAACCATCGAAGCTCTTCTCGATGGCTACGACATCAGACTGCGTCCAAACTTCGGCGGTGAGTACAGTGATTTTTTGTCTATTTTACGTTCTCCATCAGGGTATAAATTTTCGGAACATTTTCGGGTATGGTAAAATGCCCGTATTTTAAATACATCGTTTAAGTAAATATAACTAAGCGCGCTGTCGATCATATGTAGTTTCCCAGTGTTGATGGAGGCCTATAGAAATTTTTAAAACATATATGACTCTGATAAAGAATCACAACACCGTCCAAAACTTGAATAGTTATATTAATGCCCAGTCAATTATAATTTAGATGCAATGCACCTTCATATGCAACTATACATGCGGAAAGCAAACGAGCAATCGGAAGCGGAGTGCTAAGGTGATAGCTTCCTTTGGCAGAGGCCGTTTCCTTTACCAACAATATAATGAATTAAAATATAATTCCTCTAAATTTGTAGGCAGTGCATTGGCGTTTTTTTAGTAACGTATATGAGAGCTTAGCCTGAGCTTGAGAAAAAAAAACAGAAACAATTTCTTAGACACATTTGGATTTTCAAACAGAATTTTGTTTGGGTGTTTTTGGGAAGGTTTAGATTTTCCTGCAATAAATATGCATTAAACTTTGGATATAAAATAAGTTTCATGATTCGCTGCAATAATTTAGATTTATAATTTGAGGGTAATCATATAAATTCATTTATTTTATTGGCAAAAAATTCTTTAGTCGTTCACCGGTGGGGTTATCTGATTTAAATTTATTATAAGGTGACAAAAATTGTTGAAGTAATTTTTTCACATATTTGGTTTTTATACTCAGGAGAGCCTTGCTACATCGGCATGGACATCACCATTGCATCGTTCGATTCAATCTCGGAGGTGAACATGGTGAGTACACCTTCTTTGTAAGCGATCATATTTTGTGCACAAATGTTTTTATAGTCTCCTCAGCACGATCTTCCCACCGATTCTAAGAAACCGTCACAACCTTAATCAGTTTAGCGGCATGTACGAGTAAATTCATGCTACAGCGGAACCGAAGTCGCCAGGCATCGCAAGAATGGGGAAATTGCTAAGCACGTCCAAATGCTGACTTGGCCAAAGCAACAGAATTAATATGCGGTGAACGAAAAGACCGAACATCAATACTTTTTCTGCCCTGTTCAATCAAATGTCCGGCCCAATTGCCTTGTTTGTAGTCTTTCCCTCATATATTCCAAGTCACAGCGTACAGAAAAATCAATGCGAAGGATAAGATACAGTTTGGTAAACTGTATATAATTTTTTAGTTGAATCACTACAATTTCAAAAACAAAGCTATCATATTCATGAATATTACTATTAAAATACAAAAAAGAAGGGATTGACGCTATCGAAGCATCAATCGGTCAGCTTAACTCTTCTTACCGTCAGATCATTAATCAACTTAAATTACACCGCACCCATCGATGAAGGCCGTGATTGTCTCAGCAAAAGTACCTCTGTAATGAACCTATATATTGCCTCCATCAACACCCCCAAACGATACAAATTGTGTTTTTTATTGGCCACGCAACAGGCAATAAATATTGCAATTGTCACACAAATGTATACGAAATAATTAACGCCGTCATTGTCAGGATCGACGTCTTAGTCCTTCATATTAACGGGCATCTGCCACACGTCAGCTGACGTCTGACAGTTTGTTGCTGATCCTGGCGTGTTGACAGAACAGCGCCTTAGGCTACAGAGGAACTTCAGTCAATACACAGTCTTCCTGATGACGCCTAACGGCAAGTGCTGTAGCTCTGCGAGAAACATTAGCAGCTTATTCTGCTTTTTTCCTCTGCTAATGGGAATAAAAATATAGCACGACATAAAAGGCATGATAATTGTTATAAATATTTCATAAGTGGAAATTCAAGTACATTATTGGTCTACTCTTTCGAGCCCTTCCTGCAAACGGTCTACATTAATTTAGCTTAGTTACCGCTTACGACCAACGAATGCAGAATGAAACTTCAATGCAATAAATTCATTAATATTTTACACTAATCTTTAATTCCTACGCTATTAGTTATTAATCCGTTTTCCGCAATTACAAAGAAAAAGAAGATTATTATTTATTGAAATGATTCCATATTATAAGAAAAACGTAAGCTGATAAGAAGCCTGAACAAATTGCATCCTCTTCGACATTATAGACAATACAGGTAAATTTCTTACCATCATAAAAACTTTTAACATAAATAGATCGTGAAACATCAGAACAAAAGAGCACGGACGAATTGGATAAATTATTGTGCATTTAAATTGTTATTTATAACATTGATCTGATTGACTTTCTTCCTGTACTGCTCACTACAGTAAATCGTATGAATGTAAGAATATTTCTATAAGAAATGCTTATCCTGTAAATTATCTATATCTATTCTCATCCCAAAGGACTGCACCATCGCTGAGTACGGTCCGTCAAGAGTTTCTTTCCACGGAACTACATCGTGATTATTTAAGTATACTGGACTCTCCCAACAGGAAAACACTGTAACTATGCTTTGGAGACATGCATTCCTTCTAAAGTGCTAATAATCAATTTTAAGAGTAGTAATAATCAATCTTACTTCCACAGGACTACACCATCACTATGTACCTCAACCAGTACTGGAAAGACGAGCGACTGTCCTTCAGTTCAGACGACGAGGTTCTCACATTGCCGGGAGACTTCGCCGAAATGATATGGGTGCCCGATACATTTTTCGCCAACGACAAAAGCAGGTGAGCGCCTATTGAATTATGTGTTTAAACTGGTTTCATCCTGTACTTGCAAAATGTACAAGTACATGAAATTCTAGCATTCGAAAATAGATAAGTTTTCTTAAATACTTCAAAAGCAGTAACTTGGAAAAGAGTGAGCGATTTGAGATCGCAGTTACAAGGCATAATGAATTATGTTAATAGTAAAAATAAGAATAATAAAATTGACTTAGAATAGAATGATTTTGAATTCAAAGAGTTAAATGATCACACATTTAGCAATCATTTTTATTCAATGTCACAGAAGTGCCGTGAAGAAGCTGAAGTTTCAAAAGCGCGTCTAGCATAGATTCATTTGAATTTCTAAAATTTCAAAGTTACTGTAGCATGAAATGTTAACAAATTGACCGTCGAACAATCTTACGGAAAACTCGCTTTAACGTCATTATATGTGCCTTAATAATATACTGAACCCTCAACCGTCTTGACATTTATTTTCAGTTACCTACACGACGTGACTGAGAAGAACAAGATGATTCGGCTGCATGGCGACGGCTCCATCACGTACGGCATGCGCTTCACCACGACACTGGCATGCATGATGGACCTTCACTACTACCCTCTGGACATACAAAAATGCACAGTCGAGATCGAAAGTTGTTAGTATTCTGATAAGATTAATCAGCATTTCAATATTGAAATACACCACCACCTCACTCACTCATTAAACTGTACTGCTATCTTGATACTTGATTGTCATTTCATGATGCCGCACATGAAAATTTTTTTAAAAACGCTATCACCCTGCGTACTCTTTGCACTGCATCGTCAAGATCGATAGTGGTGAGTATCGTTTAATGATCAATCATCAGTTCATTTTTAAATTTTGAAATTAACTATCAGTCATTGAGTTTATACAGAACTGGCGTGTGGAGGAACCTATTCTGATACATCAATCTCGTCGTCAATTACATTTCAACTAACTTTTTGACAACGACCTTAAAAATAGTGCATATTTCAAAAGAAAAATTTGCATCTTTATTACGTGGCATATTATTACGTGGCGATGATATAACCGTTGTGTCTGAAAGGCACTGAAATTGGACTAAAAAAAGTGAAATTTGGCGACTGAAATCATTTTAATCAATAGAACATGCAGGAGATTTTTTCTCATATGCTTTATCTCTCGCGTGAGTCTTCTAATGCCATGCGCTCGATAAAACTGAATGCAAGTCAAAATTCTAATGATGATATTTTGTGTTTAGTGGAAAACTGCTGATTTATTTATATTTACAATTATAGGCCTGTAATCATGCGTGGGTATTAAATGTTCTTTTTTCATGTGGCATCACCCGTTATTCAAAGTAAGTAACCAAATCTGCATGCGAACATGATAGCTTCGTCTATGACTAAAATTTCATCCAGAAGATCACACCACAAATGTAATTATATAGCTACTGTGAGCCTGTAAGAAGAAAGACAACGTAAATTTTTTATAACGTAAAATAAATCTCAGTGGGTAAATCAATTGAATCCTTTAGAAGAATTCAACTGCGGCAAATGATGCCTTCAATTTCTGCCGTTAAAAAAGAATCCAGTTTCCCGGGCGGCTCTCGCTTTCTTCCTCTTAATTTCCTTCTAGGACTTCATGAGAAATGCTAGTCTTCCGTTCTTCTTATCTCGACGACACAGCAGGGCTCTCATGCGATAAAAACTAGTTTGCTCAAAATTTCAAGTTTGCTCTCTAGATTTTAGTTATTTGCATTGAAAGAGAGATAAATTTTATGGGACGAATTTCAATTCTCTGCTACCGATCCAACCTGTACAGTTATATATGCATTATAGAGGGAATCAAGATTATCTTTATAATCAATCAAGTAAAACATAACCTGATGGCCACATGCATTCCAGGAATGGCAAATGTTTTTTCGGTCCCATAATTTGAAGGTGGCTTTAATGTCCGTATCAGAATGAACCTATTCGAAAATTATTGACTAAAAATACATGTAGGTTAACATTTTAAGAATATTTTATAAATATCATTTCCAATTACATTTGCCATAGTTTCAGACGCAGAGCCAAGGTATGGTATGATGTGAAGTTCGAATCGATGATATGGGTCCAACCTATGCGAATATTTTCAAGTAGTGAACGAGGTTTCTTGGCTTGTAAATTGTCCCTCAATTCCAAATCCATATCATAGGAGCGATATGTTTATGACACCATTACACTTCTTAAGCATGCCTCTCTTGAACGTCCTTCCTTCGATTATTTCAAATTAGAACATTCATCGATTAAATGGTTTTTAGCTTTTATATTACTAAGAAACTAAAGATAAATTCGGCTTTCGGATTTCTTTCTTTGTTTCATCGTTCATTCTTTATTTCATTTCAAACTGAATCTGTTCGAAGACTGTCGCTGAATTTAGACGTCTTTGCTGTATTACTTTCTTTAAATGATTTTTCGTATTATTCGTTGATTTTAAATTTGATTCCTTCTTTAGGTAAAAGTATGTTATTTCTGCTCGGTGCCGCTGTCTCTAGTTAACTATAAAAATTACGCGCATTGCGCAGAAGAGTGCGTCTGAATGATGTAGCGCAACTTCTAAATCAGTTTGACCGAGGGCCATGGAAGGAGTTTTCGCGTTGGGAATCTGCTTGCCCAACCTTCTCAATTTGTTGTGCGCCTTCACGCAAAACAGTGTGACTTACGTGTGCCTGAGGGCGATTTTAAGATTTCAACGTGCACCTCCAGAGCTTTGAAGGCTTTCAAATTTTCGTATATCGTTAAAAAGAACTTTCTGCTAATCACGCCTAGTTCATTTCCATTAAGAATTTCCACAAACAAATGGCATATAAATAAAATTCTTTAATTCGTTTACAGATGGCTACACACTGGCGGACGTTGTAATGTACTGGAAGGATATACCAGTCGTGGGGGTGGAGAAGGCTGAACTACCGCAGTTCACCATCATGGGTTACAACTCGACGTACCGCACAGAAGAACTCGCTACGGGGTTCTACCGCCGACTCACCATCACGTTTGAGCTGTCCAGGAACATCGGTTATTTCATCTTCCAGACGTACTTGCCCAGTATACTGATTGTGATGCTGTCTTGGGTATCTTTCTGGATAAACCATGAAGCTACCTCCGCTAGAGTCGCTCTTGGTGAGTTAAGGATATTTGGTAGAAAAAAAGTAGTGAATGCTTGTCCAATTGTATTCGGGGATCATAATTATATTAATGAATTTCGTTAAATTTCGCCATCAGAAATTAAAAAAATTTGCGTCGTCAGCATTATAATTGAAAATTATCCAAAGTTTTATTTGATATGCGTAGCAGTAATTGAATAGCCCCGGCCTTGCTTTGCTTAGTTCAAAATAACATTTTTGCCCAATAACGTTGTTCTGTTCAGGCATCACGACCGTACTCACCATGACGACCATCAGTACGGGTGTACGGTCCTCGCTACCTCGCATCTCTTACGTGAAGGCCATCGACATTTACCTCGTCATGTGCTTCGTGTTTGTCTTTGCTGCTCTGCTAGAATATGCTGCTGTCAACTACACATTCTGGGGCCAAAAGTGAGAGAAATATTAAACAATGTGTAATCCATTTTAGCATATTCAATCTTTGTTGTTTCTACGTATAATGTCAGTGTGTTCAAGGAACTAATTGAAGTATCATCTGGACATAAATTTTATGACATGTATTCGTCCGTATTTTTCTAGTGGACGATTGCATATCCTATAATCTTGGTTGCATTTGTTTCGTCATTTCCCTGCAAAAACACACGCACATCAGTGCCACATGTAAGCGTTTCAACACTATTACGAGATCCGTAAATGGCTATGAAGAGCAGTCTACTGCGAAATTGACTTGCTGTCTGACCAAGCAATATATTTGAATTATTATTTTATTTTGTACCTCATTTCACGGCATATCAAGAAGTCGTTCTAGGTGCGACGTGAGAAAAAGTTGCGCAAGCTTTCAATATTGTCTTAACCTTTGTCTTGCCTGGTATTCATTTACCAGATATTTCTCTTATTCAAGGGCGAAGAAGAAGCCTAAGAAAGTGAAGCCATCTCCGTCACCTAAGTCACCTCTTCATCTTCCCCAAACGAACAAGATAGACGGCACAACTAAACATCCTGAAGAGATCATAGAGCTACAGGATATTCGCATGAGTCCTATTCCTTCGATAAGGTATCGAATTACATACTCAGTATTTTCAAAATTAACAAATAATTGGGGGCTGCTTCCGAAGCGTTTTGATCCGGGTTTTTCATCACACACATCCTGTATGAGCGGAAATGCAGTTTTGATACTAATTTTCATGTACAAATTATCGCCCCATTATCCTGTAAACATATTTGAAAGAGCTGCCTGTTAGCGGTAAATCTATGAGGATAGATTTGATCTCATATACATGTTATTAATTGATGATTCATCTTCTTTCACATCCGTTTACAGCAGACTTTTAAAAGTTTCAATCGTCCTTCTTCCTGATTCAAAATTTTAAAGTGGCGTGATATCATGTGATAATGTTCGTACCGAATGATAGTACCATATAGTCATACGAATATTATCCTTAAACAGCTTTTCCATCCAACAGACAACGGCACAACTCGAAGTTTTTCAGCCGGGAAAGCAGCTTGCAGGACCTCAAGTTTCCACCATCTTTCCGGATCAACAGGAACTACATGTCGTCGCGCAGCCTGGCAAGTGCCAACAAGCTACAAGCTCGCAAGAAACTAATTGCTAGTATCCGAAAAGGAACCTCGACAATCAAAGCTAGCATTCCTACCATAACTGATGTTAATGTCATTGATAAGTACTCGCGTGTCTTCTTTCCCGTTTCTTTCATGATATTTAATATGGGATATTGGGGCTTTTACTATGCATAAGTCTTATTGTTCGGAAAAAACATAATTTAAAGGACGAGTATGATATAATACAAATGAAACTTATGATGAAAGATTTGATAACATAATCAGCCGCACCTTCATTATAAGTAAGGTCATTTAAAACATCCCATTATGTATTCTTCATTCTGAATTCATGTGAACTTTCACCCAACAAAACGTGTTCGAGTTACCTGTAAATGATAAAAAGTTGGACTGACGCGGTTAATTTTTATCTGTTATTAACACCACCTGGTATATGCATACAGGTAATATTCCAAAGATTCGGGGAAAGAATTTGTGTACTTTTACTATATAATATAATGCTCGGGAAGACCGAGTGGTCAAGATCACAAAGAGTGGAGCAGAGAGTTGCATGTTCGAAACCCTCAACTAGATGCGAAACCACTGGGCCTGGCGAGCAACAGGCCAGCAAAGCCTAATTAAAGCTAACACCGCTATATTTAATACTGGTAACAAATTGAGTGTTATTTACAGAATTAGATTACAAATCCAAAGCTTAATCTTTCAGAATAATTTTTAGTTTATAATTTTGGCCCCATTATAAGTGGCAATAACCATTATCGAAATTCCATAGTAATGTCAAAGTGTAATGTCATGTTTTTCCCTTTTGTTACTCTTAAGTATCTTGTAGATGTTTAAGCGTTCCAACATAATAATTTGTATTAAGTATAAATATTATATTCCAAGTATCGGGGATTGTAATTAAATGTCGTGCTTAAGCTACTAACATGCATTTAAATAACGATATGGAAAATTAAACCTTCTTTAGGTCCTGAAGACAACAGTAAGTGGCCAGAAAACAAATATTGTGTGTTCATTAATGACATTACATGTTCCATGTTAACATGCAAAAGACGTTCTATTCAAAAGGCCTTTATTTAAGAATTTATTTTACTTTGCTTAGATGGACTGTAATTTTTCTTGATATTTGCCGGTGACGCGTCGTGTTTGTACTAAAAACTACCTTTTTTCTCGTCCAAATAACTCGACGAACTCCTGTTTACCTCAATTCTTTTTTGGTATAGTTAATTAAGATTACATTAGCTTCGTACGATAATTGGGTTCAATGAAAGTTGGAACATAAGATAAATTTACACCATCCGCCAGTTGGTGATTTCTAGCTGAAGAATGTCATTCTGACGCACACTATGCCACTAGTTGAGATGTACAATATTTTTTTTTAGCGTAAAATGATCAGATCAAGTCTGATCAAATTTAATCTGCTTGTAATAAATAGGTTACCACGGCATGAACTACTTCCCATGACGAATGTTAGTAGTAATTGTTGCCTGGAAGTAGCCAGTAGTCGTGCCAAATTCGAAGGATTATTCGCCACGCCTGTCGACGTAGTTATTCAGAGTAAATGTATTATCATACTAAAATTACAATGATACACTTGAAGAAGTGAAGCCTTTACATAATCATACAAACTAATGCACTAGAAAAGCTAGGTTTAACTTCTAAAATTTTTGTATTGTATGTATAAAGATACCTTGGGTTTCTTTCGGCGAGATTTAAAGATAAGTCGCAAACAGGTACGTTGTTCATTATGTTCGTAAGCGGTTTCTGGAATAAAATTCAGAAAAACGAAGTTAGCGACACCACCTCGCATTTAATTTTAAGGGACTGACGTATTTAACATTGAGAGACCTCACCAGCAGGTACGAAAAATAAAAAATAAATAAATAAATAAAAACTTTCAAAAATTATATATATGATTTCGAGAAAGGAGATAATAAAGGCTCGAATAATCGTTATTTTGTTATAACATTAAAACCATTAATTGAAAGTACTACTTTGCTTTCCTTGTCTAGTGTTTCTGCATTATTGAGTATAAATATAAATATATATGCGTGTTTTAAAAGTTATTTGATAACCCGACTTTCATCAAAGGCTAATTCAATACTTTGTATTAAGACAAGGGAATCAATCTTAGTGCTGGAAAGTTCTACTTCCTATCAGAAGTCATTTTCATTGAAACGAGCTAAAATCAACATTTGACCTTTTCTATAGTCGAATATAAATCTTTAGGGCTGCGCAAAGGAAATTTATAACCGAATCATTATTTAAGAAGAGTAAAATCGGCACACATTCTCCATGCTATGATACCCAAACGACAAATCAATAATCAATGCAAGAATGATCACACCAATTAATTTGTACTCTGTAAAATTTTATTGGCAAGGTCTAGCTCCGACGCAAGAAGTTGCCGTGCATGTTACTTCCAGAAAACGGAAGATGTGTTCTATTATACTTCCGTTTTCTGGCTGTAATATGCAAGACAACTTCTTGCCATGCATGCACGGCAAGACAACTTCTTGCCATGCATGCACGGCAAGACAACTCCTTGCCATGCATGCACGGCAAGGAGTTGCCGTGCCATCTCCACAGGAACTCCTGGAAGGTGCATTCCGTTTTCTATAAGTCGTTTTTTATTTGGTTGGATTTACAGGATGGACTCAACACATTGACTTGCGTTAGAATGATTGCTGAACTCGAAAAGGTAATGAAGAAGTCAATAATATGAAGTCAAAAAGTTTTTCCTTGCGGGGCAATTCTTAACTTGGAAGCATTATTTTATGGATTTAAATCAGCGTTATCGTCAATCAAAAGTCTTCATACCTACTATTGTTATTTGTTGTCAATATTTAATTACGATCAAGTAACTTGCCAAATTCAGGGTTTAATCTAAAAAGAATTTCACTTCATTTTATTGTGCGATACTATGCAATTTTGCATTTGCGATACAATCATGGAATAATCTCAGACACGCGATGCATCTAGAACTTAAGAAACATGAGCTGTTGACCTAATGGTGATGGCCTTGAATTAACTTCATTGATCTCAGGCGCATGTACTCTAAAAATTAAAGTTCCGCTTTGGACCACTCGACGTATGCTAATCAGAATCCAGACTGCAAATCGAAATTCGTCTACAATTGTATTTAAATTATAAGTAGAACGGCTCAATGAAACAGTCATTTTTGTGAATTTTACTCGTAGTAAACATCGATGTTAGATACACATTTATGTAAAATACAATTGTGTACAATCAATAAACATTGTCTGAAAGAAAATACATAAAATTACGTGCAATTACCATTCACATTGCTTGGAAACCTCCAAGCTGCCAGCTAATATTTCTAAACGGGCAAACATGAAATAAATTGTTCATGACGAGCATCATTGTTGAGGCCTATAGCAGCTCAATCAAGTGACTGCTGATACGTGTATATTGTATAGTGTATATAGATAGTCCCATTGACCTGTACGAATAGTTACGGATTTACAGATTAATTCAATCCATGAAGTACGGAATTTTGCTTCATAGACTCACGTCTAACGATTGATGTGTATTATCCTTAGACAGAAATTAATTTTTTTAAAACCAAAAAAGTATTTCGTCTTATAGTGATATTTGAGTCCGGAAAATTTTACAATGTAGCCTACGAAGAAAAACACATTGAAAAAATTACCAAGGAAAATAATTTCGTGAATAAGAAAACTCCAACACCTATAAGATTTCAATTAAAATTGTAATTGTTTACAGGTATGAGAAGCATCAGAGAACTTTTACTGGGACACATATTCATGACTTTCTGGAATTTTTATACGTGATCCATTGATCAATGATTCCATACATTTCTGTCAGAATAACGATCAAAGAGATAATTTCAAATTGTTTCAGATTCAATGAAGCTGATAGCGAGATGAAAGATATTTTGAACAATCTTTTATGAAACATGCACTTCTATTAACTCCAGTAGAATTTAATACAAAATGATTACACGGTAATTCCTATATGGAAGATTCATTCTGGCGTCTCCCATTCAGATACAACATCCACAGACGAAGCTATTTGAATTAATCGCTGTCCTCCTCCATTTATAGGGAGAAATAAGAAGTTTTCCGGTAATAAATAACATAATTTAACACAATATCTTATAACTCGAGGAATTCATCCATTACTGATCGGCGCAGTGGCTTCCCGCATTGTAAAAGCTCAGTCATTTATAACTTCCGCCGTAATAATTTCCACGATTCGATACATAACTCAAGAAATTCATTTACGTTACAACTGCGTACAAAATTTACGAAAAATTCATCCACTCCAAAATAAAGTTGTCCAGTTAAACATTCCATGAATAAACACAAATATCACCTCGCTTGAAGTGATAATTTTTACTTCCTTACTACGCAGTAGCAGCTTGAATTTCGTAAGTATTACTTCAGTCATTTCAGAATTGGGTCTTCCATTATTACCTACCACAATTTAACATCGAAAATACCTGATTAGACGAATTAATTCATTTCCTAATTGCGCAGTGAATGCGTGAAGGGAGAGGCTGTTTCGGCGGAATTGCATTTTTGGTGATAACTTTCATAATTCGATGCCAAGTATCAGTAAACTTATGAAATTCATTCACTTTCAACGGCTCAAAGAGTTTACGAGTTTCGTAGCAAACAGTTTTTCCGTTTCGAAATTCTGTCTACCCGGAATAACTTTCGTGATTGAATACCAATTATCACCAAGAAATTCATTCCCTTCCGGATTGGACAGAGTCTGCTTGAATTAAAATGTTTAGCTGTTACAAATTTGTATTTTTGATAATAACTTTCGTGATTCAACACCAAATATTCCCTAACTAAATAATTAATTCACTTTCAAACTGAGAAAAGGGCCTATGAGTTTCGGAGTACACTTATCACTGCAAGTTGGGTTTTGCAGTTGAATCATGCATGATTCAACACCAAAATCTTCTCACTCGAAGAAAGTATTTACTTTCCAACTGTGCATATGTGCAGTGGCTGCATGAATCTTATAAATGATATTTCAGCCGCTTCAGATATTAAATTTTCGCTGATAGCTTCCATAATGCAATGCAGAGCAAGACCAAATTCAAGAAATTCATTCATTTTACAGCAGCACAAAGGATCTTCGAGTTTCGTTAAAAGCCAGTTGATCGTTTTCAAAATTGACCTCTCCGGGGTAACTTCTATGATTCAACGCCAATTGTCACGTGACTCGTAGAAGTCATTTCTATTCAATATAATTAGTTTATTGATTAAATAAGTCTAAGTAATTTATCATTCATAAATTGAACAATAACGCGACTTTTTTGCGCGGTCTGGAAACCTAAGCATCTATACATTTAAAGAGGCCATTACTCACAAATTCATAAACTTTAGTAGTCACCTAGTATGTCAATGCTTAAAAGCAGCGCTCATTGTATAATGAATTGCTGTAGAATATACAACACTTTATCAGATGAGAAAAACTGGTAGGCCTTCATGATTTATCCAAAAATTTTGTGCGATTGCAGAAATATCTGAAACGTTGTCAGGTATCGCAAAAAGTGTGAAAAAAATATAACTCAGTACTCACTGCAGTGAGTGACAGAGAGCGCATTTTCTCGTCGACGAAAACGTGAAGTCACGGACAAACGGACAGACGGACGGACAGACAGACGGACAGACAGATGGACAGACGGACAGACAAATGGACAGACGGACGGACAGACAGACAGACATGACGAGCACAATAGCGCCTTTTTTCCATAAATGAGAAAATGCGCTAAAAAGAGAGGCAAACATAACAGGCAGGATAATTCCTTAATAATAAATATACATTTGTCACAATTTGTGTGTTTGAAACGTGGCGCTGGAAATATATTGGTACGTGCTTCCAAAATCCATTCCTAGTGGGACAATAGTAAGGCATTGCAAAAGAAGGTGGGAAGTATTGGGCAAACAATTTTAATTTGATTCTAAATTAGTATATACGAATTCAATTCAAAAGACGATAAATATTTTCTTCATATTTATGAACAAGTGAGATATAAATAAAATATAAAATGTGAGATTAATCAGGTCTTTCTTTAATGATCATACTTTTGTCTGAATATTATGTAAGAAATGTAGCCTGACGGAATTTTAAGATTTTTTATCAAAATTTAGCCTGACGGAATTTTAAGATTTTTTATCTCTAACTGCTAGTTAAATAATGCTAGTTTGAATGTCAGGCAAATTAACAATAGTTTCAAACCAACCTATTTTCCGGAAAATATTCTGCAATTATTTATTACTCGTTTTTGTGTTTATTTTGCCAAACTTAACCTCAACTGATGGTTTTGCTATAAATTTTTAGTGTCGTTCTTTGGCCGAGTTTGGACTAATTTGTTTACATTTTTAGGAAAAAATGATCTAAAAAGTTGTATCTTTGCGTATTACTGATGCAAAATGGCTGTTCCTGATAATTATGCCATTTAATCTTATATTCATACATTACACTATGAATAATAAAATTATCAATTTTACAAGACCATAATTCTTTTCGGGTATACTAAACCCGCTATCGTAGCTGATATTCAAGCTCTGTTATATACTGAGCCGATGCTTCCAGTTCGACACTGCGTTGACGTGTCGATAAACGTTGGATTTCATTATAAAGTTTCAGTAAAATGGACCAACTGTCACCGGATTTTTTTTTCAAATGTATTCTTTTTTAATCCATTGTAACGCGTGTTCATGTGTGAAAAAAAACATAAATCAAATCAAATACACTACGACTGAATAGGCGCTGAATGTGACTTAAGGCGAGGCGCCGTTTAATCCATATACGATGGCTACATTCCCTCCATATTAAAAAGAGACAAAATTTCAATAGGTAGAAGCAATACAGTTGGTAAAATATGTCATATCGCAAAATAAGAAGGAGGTTCTGTAAGTATGTAGTATTCTTATCGCGTGCAGTGGTGAAATAAATTTTAGGAGTCCGTTCTTTTAAGTGGATTTCATATCGCAAAATAAGAAGGAGGTGGTTCTGTAAGTATGTAGTATTCTTATCGCGTGCAGTGGTGAAATAAATTTTAGGTTGCTGTTCTTCTGAGTGGATTTATAAATTATCGATACTAATCATGCTCTGCTCAGCTAAAAGTTGTGCTGCTCACAGAATACTAGTAGATTTCCAATGCATTAATCGGTATGATGGTCCATGAGATTTTAATATCCCGTCATCTCGAAACCTATAATTCCGAATCCGAATGCTTATTTTCATTAGAAAGTAATTTGAACACAAGAAACCCCGTTCAAATCCCCATTTAACACAGCATTCTAATTAAACTCAATCTTGTAGTTTTAATAAAATTTGAAATTTGCAATTTTTTTAATTTAATCAACCAATTCATGAAATTTTATTAGCTTTGCAATGTCTCGTGATTCCAAAAAAAACAAGATGAAAATTTCAGATCCATATAGTATTATGAAGATACAAGCATATCCATGATCCATGCCATAAGTTAAGTCAGTGGTAATCTACCAGGCATTTGACGTTGAAAAAAACGTTCATAAAACATCGTTTCCACGAAATTAACTCGTAATCTTAATGGTTTTAACATCATTTGCCTGTCTGACGTTGAAAAAACTTTCACAAACGTTTCAACGAAATTAACTTAAATCTAAATGTTTTCAACATTATTTGCCTGGAGGATTCGCCCAGCTTGCATTAGCCTTGGTTATTGCGACGCTTACGGGCCAGCGCCGCATGCACCTGCGACGGCCCAGAGAGGCAGATAATACCGGCTTTGGTGGCGGCCAAGGAACTTGACTGTTCAGGTTTAGCAGCAAGAGGAAACTTCCACAGATCACGTGGGGGCCGACATCTGGAACAATCCGCTTCTTTGAAAGAATAATCCGAGACTTCAGAGAGTCTTGAGGTCTCTACTTGAGCTTATCGGGTTCTTAGGCCTGGCTGCGTGTGAAGACGTCACAGTTCATGTTTTTCTTGGAATATGACGACCTTCCCAATAATTTGTTTCTTAGTTCCATAGTGCGGCGTATTCAGTTACGCATCAATTTTTTAGGCGGAGGAGTAACTGAATCAAATATCAGGTGCGACTTTGCCTCCGTTGTACATTACTGAAAAGCTTAACAAATGCATGGAAAAAGACGCGTGACGTGACAACACACAGCAATTAATGGATGTAAAAATGTGGTCCCAACTAATCGAGCTGAACATTATGGGAAGCAACCTGAATTCTATTGGTCCAGGATCGTACGCATGGAATAAGCTTGCGGGAATATAGCTAAAATAGTAATGTAGAGTTTTGTAACTCATAAAGCTTAGACATAATATCGCACAATAATGAATAAATCTAGATCATTTATAGAAGATTTAAAAAAATTGAAAAGCAAACTTTGCAGTAAAACTTGGGAACTTCATAATCTTTTCCAACCAAATTTTACAAGTTTTAATGGTATAATTTCGTGTTAGAGACTGAATTCTGTCAGCAAGGCAGACCAGGTATTAAAGTCTTAAAGTTGGCCACAAAGTTTGGTTTGCTTGACAACTCTAACGCTAACTTCACTAGCCTCTCGGACAATGTCAATTTTAATTCCTGCGCTTAAGAAAGTTTTGGATGGTCATAAATATCTCTTTTGTGAGACGTTTGTAGGGAACCAATGATTTTTTTTCTACCAGGTTATTGGCAGACTCACTGAATGGCAGCACGTTGCATGGGTGATGCGAGCATGGTTGATCCGTGGCTCATCCACCCTGCCGAAGAAGGAATCTAGCTGGACTCGCTGCTACAAGAACAACTCGTTTTTTGGTTACCTCGCTAAACCTCCCCTCTCCCCGCACGACAGCTCCTGGCCGCTGCAGTGCAACTGCATTGCTTTCTCCGACGATGTTCAACTTCAGCCAAACTATCCAGCATTGAATGCCGTTTCCCTCAAAAATTATCTGAATCATTGTACTTTTTTCTATGTCGTCTGTGGCTAGAAATTGACAAACTGCTGCTGTTCATTGCTCATTCAAATAAAAAGACAATCCTATTGTATGCAACTTCTGCAAGCGCAGTATGTACGTAGTTAATGAGTGTCAAACGAAGAAATAACTTGTATGAGGACCATGAATCATAAATTAAAAATAATTCAGAGTGTCATTCGTAGTAAACCACAGATGGTGCTGTCTACAGCACTGACTGTCTGTACATAGACGGCCTTGAATTACGTAATATAACGGGGTAAAGAGTTCGTCCTATTTACATCATTCAAGGATGCACAAGTGTCACTGCATATTTCATGTTTGCTTCTCTGAACAATTCAATCATTTGAATCACAATATAAGATGAATATAAAACAGCTATTTAAATAAATTGTTCTCTTCTGTTCGAGATTTCATTAAAATTGTAACTATGAGTTCTAATGACATTTAAATAATTTTATATTCCAAAGCATCATTGAATTAAATGTAGCACATAAACTGACGAAAATTTTGTTCAAATTTCAAAATTTCTTCTTTTCGCAGCAAGTGTTTGATCCTAAACACTTGTCTACGATGGCTTCAACCCTGGCGCGTGGGCTATACTCTATAGGACCGCAGACGTTCCAGGCTCCGCCCCCATGTGGGCTCCCTACTATAAAAGCGCCACCTCGCAAGATCGGTTCTTAATATTCCGTCACGATTTACGTCGTCAAGAACTGTCTTTGTGTTATAACACACGTGTTTTTGTGTATTTTCGTACTCTAACATTACCGGCTTTTGCTTGCAATTGTTGATTAGTGCTTCACTTCCGTCAACACTACTTTTGTGTGAAAGAAAGAGAGATTACCTTTTCTATTCAAAGGTTATCCACACATTATCTTCAACAATGCAGAAACATTTCTTATTATACCAAGATATGTCAACATCACTGCAACCAAATACATCTATTATTAAGAAATAAAAACAATAACTGGCACTGAACCCACTTGAAACCTCTTGAAGCCTAAAAGCTTTTCCGTTTTATTTCTCATTCACCGTGAAAGAAGAACCATCGTCACAATGATTGAATGGGCAGCTGGATTGGCTGGAGGTGAGTTGGAAGTCATAAGAACATCGTAATGTCCATGTTTATAAACAAACTCCGACATGAGCTTTCAAGTTTTACTACATGGTGACATATTTATTCTTTAAGAAGAATAAAAACTATCTATATTTGAGTACCAGTAGACGATGATCACGGCAATTATTATTGTCTTAATCGAACGCATTTATCGTTAGTTATGAAAAAGCAGAATACTTTATGCCTGGAGTCAGCCTGTAGAAACTGCGACGCGCAAACTGTAATGATCCTCGCTTCTGAAGTGGAAGACATTCTCAATCACAAGTTTTCTAACATTCACAGAATTATTACAACTTATTTCAGCATTTAACAAGTGAGAATAGGGTTTCGAAGAAATAAAAAGTTTGAATATTTTAAATAATTTTTCACGACTGTGGAAGTGAACATTTCAGTGACATATCTGTATAGCAATAATAAAATTAGTACACGATTCGAAACATATCACACACAATAACATTTAAAGAGCAGTACGGTCAGCAAACTTTTTAAATTGAATATCAGTTTAAGTAAGTTCATTTAGTGAAGCCTATTTAAGGGCAGCAATATAAGGTTATAAGGATGTCAAGAACAGACCACGTTTGTTCTCAGTTATAAGCTCATACGTCAAATGACAATGAGGGAACAAGCTAACGAATTGCCCACTCATAGTTGTAGTATTCAAGTATTCAGCACTTCACTACGATTTGAATAGATTAGGATACCCGTTCCAGATTTTTAACATTCGTTCCCTAAATTTGAAAACAGTGAGATACTAGCTTAGTTTAAAAAATTCACGTCTTTTTTAACAAATATAATAATGCACATCAACGTATTTTTGCAAAATTTAGCAAAATTTGTTCTTTCATCATGAAATTCAAACTAAAATCTCATTAAAGCATCAGTTGTAAAAATTCATAATTATATTTCACCTATAAAACATAATAATTCCTTATAAACTTGAATTATGGAGTGAGAGGCATTAGAGTCCCGAATTTTCTGGAGTCGTAATCAAGAAACGAGTATTTTTATGACTTGCTAAACTTGGAGCATAAGTCCAAACCAAGTTTTTGCTGTCGGGACGAGGGTGGGTGCGGTGCTCTTCTGCCATTGGTCGAGACAGCGTAGCTGCATGCGGTTCCTGCATGGCGACAGAGAGTCGCCGTGTCGGGCACGATGGCCAACGGCGACTAAAGCATAAGTGGAAACTTCCATGGCCTCGATATTGTTAAACGTCAAAGCAAAATATCAAAGTAACTCTGCATCGTGATTTCATGAATCCATACATAACAATGATTAAGTAATTGAACATGATTTTCGCATTGAAGTTAGATATATAAAACAGTAGGCTATCCTTTACTGCAGAGAAACAATTCATCTCATGCCACGTGAATTATTGCATTGCTTCTTCAGTGATTCCAAGATATTCAGAAACACAAACCCGCGATCGAGAAAAGGTGGAGCCTTCCCGTGTAAAATTGTCGGCAATTTACAATGACCTTAATGCTCAATCGAACAGCATTTTGATGTTGATTGATTTTTTCTCTCCCGTGTTGATTAATTTTTGTTGTACTATGTTACTTAATTGATGTCGAACATAACAAAGTTTTTATATAGTAGTTGAATTTAATTTTCACAAATTAAATCACAATTTTGAATTTGATTTTCACAATTTTCACAATTTCAAATTAATTTTCACAATTTTCACAAATCGCAATTTTCACATCTACAAAGATTGAGCAATAAATGCTAATTGGAACTCAAGGTTATTTGTAAGTACAATTTTGACATGAATGAAGGGAATTTATTTATGCGGCGTTTATTGTATTGAGTTGTCGAGATCATTACATATATACCTACTATAGATAGACTTTATATTCACTCTACATAGATGCTTCCAAGTATACCTTGGAGTTGAAGGATAGTATATATTCACTTTAAATATATAAGTATAGTATATATTCAGTACACATATGCTTCCTAGTATACCTTGGAGTATAAGTATAGAAAGTAGTAAGTTGGTGTATAAGTATATATCCAAGTATACTGGACGCCAGCCCCTGATTGGCCGACATGGCCAGGTGATTGCCTCGTGATCGACGCGCTTCAGGAACGTGATACGCCCCACTTAACTAATGCCCGGAATCATCTTGCTTTTCAAAAACAAATGCCTCTCAACATTGATTTCACATTGAAAATAGACAATGAATTCAGATTTTTGCATTTAATGTTGGGATCTGAAAGTTCTGAAAAAAATTTTTCAAGTTGAACACATTTGAGACGCAAGTTCACTTATCGTAAAATTTTAATTTATTATTACTCACAACGAGTTATGAGATGCTATCGTTAACCTATTTTATTCATGACTGCATAACCTGATCTGTGGAAGAAATTATTAATAATAGAGTAAAAATTTAGAATGATTGACGAATTTTTACGGGGTGCATGCTTAGTTTTGCCGCAAATAAATTTAGATTCGTGCAAATTTATGCTTACATTAACGTCGTTCTTGATGTTTTGTGTTGTTTTCAATTAGTTTATATTGTCTAGTTTTCATTCTGAAAGCAATCACGTGACTGACATGAAGCTTATTTCCTTGCAGGGTGTGCCGGAGTTGCTGTTGGTCATCCCTTTGACACGGTCAAGGTGAATATATCAATATCATGCATGCTTAATATTTTATGTATCTTCACTTGGTAATGTGGTAGGAATTTCAAGCATAACAGACCAATCGCAACCGTTGAAAGAATGTGGAAAGAGAAGCGTGTATCCAACGCAAAGCAAGCAACTGGAAAAATCTGGATCAACAGCATAAGTTTTTTTGCGCCTAATATAGAATATGGCAGCTTAAACATCGCAGCTGCCATTCTAGGAAACTTGAGACTGAGTTTGACAAATCAGGGCCAGCCTTTATGATCGGGACGGGAATTGCAGTACCCGTAAAATTGCCTTATAATCTTGAAACATTAGCTCCATGAAGATTATTGGCTTCGAGAAAAAACTTGCTTGTAATATGTGCAAATAAGATTATATTAATAGGTTTCTACTTATGCTATATCGCATATTTTTTTCTAAAACCTACAGTAATGTTACGGCTGCCTACTGGATTACTGGCTGCCATTAATGTTTTTCCTGCCTACTGGAATACATCAGATAGCAGTTCGGTCGCTGTAGGTATTTTATTATCGGGAGAGGCAAGCGAGTGTCAGACGCGACGCATGACGCCCAAAGTCCAAGCATGCAGCTAGGCAGGCGCTCTGCATGTGATGCGCAAATGCCGAATAGAAGTCGAACTGCCTAGCAGTCTCAGGCGCGCTCCAGCGCCTCATACCTGTCCATGCACAAAAACCAGTTAGTTCTCTTTGTATAGGTCACATTAAACATCGAGGAGCCAAGAGGCCCCCAAATGCTGCTAAGTTTAGCTGCTGTTTCTTAATTAGATCTCGCCTGGTAACAGGTGAGATCCACTAGGTTTCTTGGCTTCATCTAATAACAGTCTCGCTAAAATCGGACTAAATTATCAGTAACATAAAACAGAAAATGTAATCGTTGAACTGTGAAATTATACACAGTCTCAAGAACGTTATTATGGTGATATTTTGTACAGCAAAGAAGCTCGTGTAAGACGGAGATCTCGATGTATACGCATGACAAGTACAAAACGCAAGTACAAAATCAACAATGTATGTAAATCATCGATGTACGCAAGTGCAAAATCAACGATGTATGTAAATCCACGATGTACGCAAGTGCAAAATCAACGATGTATGTAAATCAACGATGTACGCAAGTGCAAAATCAGCGATGTATGTAAATCAACGATGTACGCAAGTGCAAAATCAACGAAACAAACATAAACAGAATATAGCTCTGCAGATAACGTCTACGTGATGTGCTCACATTGCCTTCTTGAGTATAATCATTGAAATGAAGTATTTACAACTTAAATTCCCCTTTTAGAATCCCTCAGCAATTACTAAAAGCCAAATGGGCTGACTCGGCGGAACTCTTTTGAATCAGATAGGATCATAACAGTAGGAATTTTAAAAGTTCACTCGCATATTTTATGTGTTATAATGGTATAGGCAATATGTTACATAAGCATAGCCCTGGAATTCGTTTCTGCAATTGTAATTCGTTTCTTTCACCATCCACACCATATAATACACATCCCCGATTTAGGACTTTAGGAATGGAGAGGCTCAATCAAAGGCTAACTTCATTGTAAGTTTTCGGTAAATTACATATAATTCATCTACGTCCAATAATACATTTTTCATCCTTAGCATATTACCTTGTTTTGATAGTGAAACAAGATGGAAGAAGACTATGGGTCTCTCGCATGCACTTTTATCCTATGCCATGTAATTCGTACAGTATTTCCTAGAGGCTTCATTTTAATGTTTATTTCTTTGTTCGCAGGTCAAACTGCAGACTCAAGACTTCAGGAATCCTCGTTACCATGGAACTTGGGACTGCTTCTCACAGACCATCCGAAAAGAAGGGGTAAGCATTATCAGTTGAATAAGACCAAATTGCCATAAAAAGGTTAAATTTCCGTAAGACTGATGAGAAATTTGCAATAGTAACCATTAATCATTTTTATTTGCTAACCATTTAATCCCGTATGTAGTCAAAAAATATTAAAATATTTCTTAATTGTGATATATACCGCACTATTGTAAAATTTTTTACTAATGACCTAATGATCCATAAATTTTCACACGAACACAAATTTTTACGGTAAGCCATAATAAAAGTACGTTTCGTTAGTGCAGAATATCACAATTTTCAATTACACGACATTATGATTAACGATGAAACCTATATTATGAAACCTATATATTACAATATCCTATTCAGAACCAATTTTAATTTCCAGGTGCGAGGTCTGTATCGTGGCATGGCATCGCCCATGGCCGGAGTGGGCGCCGTGAACGCTGTAATATTCGGAGTTCACGGCTCAGTCTCGAAGCGCTTCGAAGATCCCGACGCTCTCAAGTAAGTTGCAAAAAAATCATTCGTCGAAAATATTTTTGGTCAGTGCAATAATTTATTATATTGAGTTTTGCGTTACGATTAGTAACCCAAGTTTTACCCTCAGCAATTAATCATGTAACGCATCTTATTTGGATGTCAGGATGTAATAAATAGTTAGAATCAGCTTAATAATCCTAATCAAGTATAAAAACATTAAAGCATTACTTATAATTTTTAATTTGCAGGTCGCACTTCACGGCGGGAGTGTGTGCGGGCTTCGTGCAGGCATTCATCGCATCGCCCGTGGAGCTCACGAAAACGAGACTACAGGTGAGCTTCGGTTAATTATTATTAAATCTCTCGTGCACTCGTAGGAGATAGCAAATTGAAATATTTATTTTACCCTACGTACAGGAATGAAATTGATATTAAATCTCGCGTAACTCATAGGAGACAGCAAATTAAAATATTTAGTTTACCCTACATGCATGATATTGAAAAATTTAATAGTAGAATATGCAGAAGGGTATGTAGAAATGTTCCAATGCAATGTAGAATGGGCAGAGAACACTCACAGTATTCCTTCTTCAATGGATAAAATCTTTGTACTAACTCAAAATATTTTCATCTAATTGTTCTTGCACATTCCAAACAGATATTATAAGTCATATACCAATTATGGTAAATATTTTATACAATTACAATACAATACAGTTTTCCACAGACCTGTCACTAGTCCCAACTCAATTTATGTGCATTTTCTACATATTTTATATTGAATTTTCTATATATATTATTGAATATAATATTTTATATTTAATGTACATATTTGTTCAGATCCAGGCAGACATCATAACGCCGGGCAGCAACGTGGCCCCCAAGTACACGGGCCCCCTGCAGTGCGCCAAACACATCCTGCGCACTGAAGGCTTCAGAGGATTGTTCAGAGGACAGCTCATCACCATCATGAGAGAGGTGAGGTCAATACAATAGAACTTCAGTTGAAAATATAATTTTGCTTTTAGGATTATATGTTGGTTAAAATTTATTAATTCTTTTTCAGAATGCACATTTGTGCATACGAATAATTGAATCATATCTACAATGCAATGCTTCAAATACACAAATGCATATTAGACTATGCGCAAATTGAATAATTATACCAAAAAAGTAAGGTTGTCTCCGTTGATCCTTTCATTTTAAGGTTGATCCTTTCATTTTAATGTTTATCCTTTCATTTTAATGTTTATCCTTGTATTTAATGAACATGTTTGTCTGCAGATACCGGGTTTCGGCACGTACTTCTTATGGTACGAGTGGATGGCACGCAAACTGAGCGGGAACGACAGCGGCTCGGCAGCAGGCCCGCTGTCCGTGCTGGTGGCCGGCGGCAGCGCGGGCACAGCTTCGTGGCTTGTCACTTACCCCATCGACGTCATCAAGTCTCGGATACAGGTGAGTTTAATGATATTAATTATGTTAATGTACCTTAATTATTGTTTTATAGAGAACAACTTGATATATTCTGGAAAAACCAATATGTGCTAGGGCTGACGCTGTAACTTAAAATATTCATAATTAAAAAAAAACATTTACTGTTATTAGATATAAACTTCAGCGAGTTACGATGTGGTTAGGAAAAGCTGCATGCGGCTGTGAAAAAATACAATACTTTACTTTAATCATTCCAACATATGCGTATAACACTTTTCTTTCTTTCATTGCAGTCTGATGGAGCATTTGGCCCTAAGCGTTACAACGGCATGGTCGACTGCTTCAGGACGAGCGTCAAAGAGGAAGGCTGGATGGTCCTGACTCGTGGTTTGAATTCGACTCTTCTTCGGGCTTTCCCAACCAATGCAGCTACATTCTTCGTCGTAACGTCGGTGCTGAAAACATTCAGCCCTGAAAGCAGCGACGAAACTTCAGGCACTAGCTTGGCCCTGACGGAAATTTACAGAACTGCTGAGCTTATCATGCACGCTGCAGGAGCTGCCCACGACGTTTACGATCACCACAAAGGAATGTTGAAGAAATTAAAGGAAAACCACCTTGCTAATTTCCTTCCCATCGTTGTGGCCGCCAGCAAGACATCGTCACAGTCTGCAAGCTGTTGCGGAGAGAAGATATGCGAGGTACTGTGGTCTTCAGTTGACTTCGTGGTGATGAACAAATTCAATTCTGGATATCACTCAAGTTGGGTTCCCTGCCGAGGAATTGTCACACAAAAGAAAAATCCGTCTGAAAGCATTGTCGTGAATCAGCGAATTCTCAGTTTGGTTCTCTAAGTTTGAGGAATCTAAGCACATTCTTAATTTAGTCATCGCGGGTACCTCCCAAAATGCTGTGATTTTAGATTTTAGTTCATCGTTATTCAGCCAAACGATGGTGCTATAGTACAAGCGCAATGCACGTACACTAATTTTCCTAAATAACGATTCTCTGTTAAACATCTTCCTGAAATTATGTCACAGGACAACTTCAATGAACATACTCTAGGAACATTAGTTCTAACTTAATTGTAATTCAGCTCTCCAAGCAGATGCTCTTGCACTAGATCGATAAATTTAGAGTTAAGAATTATCTATAAAGCCAAGAAACTTAACAACTATTTATGTTTCTGGCGTTGTTGTTCACTCTGTTGTCATTATGTTGTATTCTTATTTGCAAACATGCGAATTTTCATAAAGATGCAGATTTGCAACGGAATAGGTGAGTTCCCACAGTGTTTAAGATGTCGATGAAGAATTTCAAAAGCGTGTGTTTTGTGACTCACTGCACAGATTCCACTGTGTGTGAGTGAATGTTAACGCGCTACAGTAATGCATGCAAATCATGTGAAATGGCACTATAAAATGGTGCAATTTTGGAGCATCATGCAATGCCAGTCAGAGACCAGACCATTTTTGTCTGTCACTGAGGCCTGCCTACCTACCTTGTATATGTTAATCAATGACAAAACAGCTTTTTCAAGCATCAATATAGTTAATCTGAACATAAAAATGATCAGAGAATAATTGTATGCCTTTTCATTTACCTTTTCGATAAACTGAAACAATGAGTTTATACGAGTCCTAATCAAAATAATCAAATATTTTCATACACATGTTGTATCTAGGAACATGCGCACAAGTTGTTTGATACACGCAAGGTTCATCACTACATAAGCTTTGAGGATGTTGTGCATCATAAGTCCGAAACAAACATCACCTGGGAGGTGGGATCACCGGATCACAAAAAATTTATTAATAGAAGAGTCGAAGCTGGTGCTTGACATGAGGTGTGGTGATTTTGCCCGGCTAATTGCGCGCAGGTCGCCCTAATCGAGTGGCGACTTTTTCGGAAGTTGCCAAGGCCTGGCGACTCACGATTGAAATCGTGTAATGGCAGTTCCGGTGCATGGTTTTACGGTATCTGATCTAATCCCTTGTGAATCAAGTCACGATAATTACAAGGATCGGTAACAGGCCATTGGCCTATTTCTTTCAGTGCCGACACTTCTATTCTATTCTATACATCACACGCCTTAGGTGTTGATAATTCATGACAAGTTCACTAAACCTTGCGAGAGAATAGAAGTTAAGGAAATAGAGACAAATATTTTAACGGTTCGCAAAAAATGTATAAACAAAGAAAATCTCCAATTAAAGTTACCATGTTTTCATTAAAACTATTTCGGAGACCAGCTCCATCATCAGTTCAAAAATTCAGAGAGTGAAAGCACAATGTGCAGAGAAAATAAAAACGTTAGAACGTAACGTAAACGTTTTAATAACGTTCACAATTGTTATCCAGTCGAAATTGTTAATCTCCAAATTTCTATATTCAGTTGTAGTTTTTAGCTTCTTAACTTGTATCATCTTTCGTGTAAGCTCGAATTTTTTCTGCTGATTGAACTTGTTGATATATTAATTATAGACTAATAGACGAATTATTACATAGACTAATCTTATAAGTACCATTTGGTTTTCATTCGCCTCTCGCCCTACCATCGCGAGCCTCCAGCCCATCAGGAGCTCCAGCAGGTAGCTTAACACCGGCTACCCGTCAGGATGAAACCCAAAGACTTGCTTCATACTGAGACGAGTGTCCTTCCCCTATCTGCCCACATAGGCCTTGATTTTTTGCAGCTCATTCAGAACCCAAACCTCTCCCACCCGACCACCTCGCAGTCGCCCTCCTGGCAAATGACATCATCGTGTTGCAGGCTCCTATAGGCGAGCCGATGCGATCCATCGGCAGGGAAATTTCCCGAACTGCCTCATGTGTATGCATATATAAAAGAGTAATGGATAATGAAAATAACTTCGCTTTCAAAGGGCTGAATTTTTCTGAAGCTTTCATGCTTAGTTGCTCAGGTACTTGTACTTGTTAGAACGGGTGTGTGTTTTGAAAAAGTCAAATATAGAGCATGCTGTCAACAGAATATTCGTACTTATGAACAATTGGCCAAGCGCGTAAAAAATTCATTGATCGTCTGACAAGCTGTTAGTTGAAGCGAATGTACTTCTAAGTGCACTTCATATCAATGAAAGGAATCGACAAAAAAATGCAGTGCTTGTACAGATATAAATCGAAAGGGTACCTACGCATATCGGACTAACTTAACAAAAAAATCTTGGTATTAGTCGATTCGGTGTCAGCAATAAAGTGCTTAGTTCCTTTTTTACCATTGAAGCAATATGTTTTACGGGAATTCGACCTTTTTTCGTTGCATTAATAAATGTTTCTAATTTAAGACAACATTAATTACCCCATTGAGTGCATTGACTGCTTGGCGCATCCTTCTCTATACATAGAGCCATTAACTTTATTTTTATTAATAAAAGATAAATGTGTGTCACGGAATCGAAAATTTTTAACTCCAGGAGCAGCGATCGAGTGCAAATAAATGAACACAGGATAACAATTAAAATATAAACACCGTCAAAAATATTCGAAAATTTCCGTTTATTTCCGTTAATGAAAAACAGAGATAAATCATGTGAATTAAGGCAGCAAAATTAAAACTTCCTTGGGTCTGTTCATTCTAAAAAGTATGAATTTTCAATTTGTGGCGTGGATTGAAACGAATAATTGAGGCAAGCCTGTAAACCTTATTTAGTATTTGAAGCTTTGCTTAACTGCCCAAGAATCGCTTCAATTTGAGACTGGCAGGAATACGAAATAATTCTTCTTCAGAAATAAGGAAAAGGCTAATCAAGAGGTTAATCAAGAGGCTAATTAAGAGGCTAATCATGCAGGTAGCCGCATTTTCTGAGGCTTCATTTCTGACTCACGCCAGAAAGTAAAAACCTGACATGGAGATGGCCGCTCATGAACGGGGAGAGTATATGTCATTACGTTTTGTTATGAAGCTCTTCCCATGAAAAAATTATTCATCGTTGAAGAAAGAACAAATCTTCAAATAATTAATGGCTTGTTGGCAGACAAGAAATATATGCGTTAGTGAAAAATAATAACGGCAACATAAAGTCCGACGGAATTGATTTGAGATTTATAAATGAGAAAAAACGCGATATTTTTAGACTTCATATGCATGATTCTTCCACAAGCCAATTTGGAAAGGACATTTTTTACATAAAACCTACTGTTGTTACATATTTAGGCAAATTTCTATACAAAAGAGAAAAGAAATTTTTCCAATATCTAAATCAAAAATCCGTCTGTATACAATATTTTTCCTACTCACATGATAGTTCGAAACGATTTAGTATGATAACAGTTTTTATCTATACATCTTCGATGAGGCAGAAGCTTTTGCTAACAAACTAAATTCCATTGTTATTCAATGTACGGTACCGCTTGATCGCAAATGGTTTATCATGACGAAAATTGGACGTCATTTCTCATCCTTATAGTACAGGTCATTAGAAAATCCTCCCAGTCCTGATGTGTTATCGTTAGCAATTCGATCAATAGAAACCGCGTTTATTATCCAAACATGAGCGAGTTGTCTCAAGCTCTTAAATTCGATATAAAAGGATTGAGCAAATTATGAACTCTAGGAAAATTCCATAAATTTTCCAAATGTTTTGGCTTTTATCGGTCGATTAAGGTTTAACTATATATACCCTTTAAATTTAGGGGTACGAATTAATTATACTTTTATTGTAAAAGTTTCCAACTGAAGCTGAAGCTGGTCTCCGAAACGATTTAATCGAAATAATAATTTTGCTTTTACATTTTTTTCGCTCTTAAATTATTAGTAAATAGAGAAGGACATGTGTGATAAAAAATTCAATGCCATCATATGAGAGACGAAAGGAATACTTTTTCGAATTCAAGTAAGAATTACTAATATATGAAATAAACCTTATGTAATTAAGGAATGATGAATTTATAGCGCTGCCTGCTAACTCATATATATAAGATCGCTTGGCCGAACTACCTCCGTAATATCGGTATTTTGAGTGCAATAATTTGACGCCGCGTGCATGCCATCATGAGATGAGAGAAGATAATGATATAATATTTTTAAGCAAAGTGATCAATTATTAATTGTTTACCGGAAATAAATACATTTGTAAGCTACAGTAATAATATTGAGATAAAAACATCCGCTGGTTGACTATAGGTATAAAAAATGCAAGGCTGGATTTCCTTTGTCGACCCACACTTCTATATGTACTAGATAATGTAGTAGAATGACTAGATAATGCGATCTATTCGCAGCAGAAGTTAGAGTTCCGCTACACACAATTCTGCTTCCGTCAATGTCACAATAATTTTAAATCGGCCAAACAATTTTTGACTTTAAAAATCGAGAACTTATTTGTTCCAGACATCTAGGATGATATTAATGACGATATCAATGAATTTTCATGAAATTTCCCCAGCTGCAATTAAGTTTCCGAACACGGCATATTTTCAAGGCACTTGAGACAGCCTCATTGAGCGCTCCTAGACGGCCTAATTCTAGTAATTGGTCTGAATTTGAGAAGAAAATGACAAATCAAGCAGCCTGGGGGAAACACGAAGACTCCGAACATTTGGTGACTTGTACGAGTTTGCGGTATTGAAAGATCATTAGATGATGATATGGCTGTGTTGTGAGTACGTGTGAGTGAAATATTATAAGATGATTCGCGCGCGTGTGATGAGTAGTAGTGAAAGATTATGAGGTGATGATATGCCTATGTTGTGTGTGGGATTGAAAGCTGAGATGATGATACGCGGGTGGTGAGTTGCATATGAATTGTTTTTTAGAATATGAGCATATCGTTAATAAACGCTAAATAAGTGAACCTTACTTACTTCTCGTCATTGTACACGGAATAGCGTCGAAAATAACTCAATTAATTATTGAGTCCATAAGGAACAAAACAACAGTGAAAGTTTTACGCGATATTAATTTGTTCTAAACGTGGTTATGTGAATTGTACCGCACATGTCGCCGCACATTGCACTGTACAATGCGCCGCACATTGTACTACACAGTGCACTGTACAATGCGCCGCACATTGCAGTGTACATTGCACTGTACAATGCGCCGCACATTGCAGTGTACATTGCATCAAACAATGCGCCGCACATTGCAGTGTACAGTGCACTGTACAATGCGCAGTAAATTGCAGTGTACATTGCATTAAACAATGCGCCGCACATTGCAGTGTACAGTGCACTGTACAATGCGCAGTACATTGCAGTGTACATTGCACTGTGCTGTGGGCTGACTATTGTTTTAAAAAGCATTCAACCAAATTCAGATTCAGGTATTCAGAGGTAGAATTCAACGTCAGCAAAAGTTACTAATTTTCTCTTAATTAAGACTTTCACGCTCTAAGATTTTCAGCTCAGAGATTAAAAGCTCTGGCTCTCATTTTATAAGGCTACAGATCCATATTTCTTTCTGCCTTGAACTTCTAAACTATGCACACAAACAATGGAAATGGATAAACTATTTTCTAAAGCCCAAACCTATATTTTTCATTAGACTACTCGTTTATTAGAAACTTTATAACCAATACGTATGACACTACGCATTGCATCGCACGTCTTATTACAATGTTCGTTGC